CCTATTTAACATTCCTGAAAAAGCAACAAGTTACGTCATAGATTATTATTATCAAATATGTTTTATCCTGCATGCAGCATTACTATTTCGCTTGGCAATCACATGTATTGAAAGTTAAGATGCCTTTTTCAACCAGAGGCTCCTTTCCTTTTCCAGCAGGAATAGTTTTTATGCTATTGTGAATACTGTTCTGATGATTCTAACTCTGTTGCAGTAAACAATTGCTTAAAAAAATCAGCCTGGTTTGAAAACACTGTTATGAATCAGATAAAAACATGGCATTCTAAAAGCTCTCATTCTATGGTTGATTTGAAATGCTCAGGAATAAAGAATGGGTTGTTTCATCCTTCAAACCCTTCTGTTTCATTCAGTGAACTTTAAAGTGGCTGTTTGACAGCACAGCAGTGTTGGCAGGAGCAGTGCTTGAGTGCACCTTTTCCAGTACTCAATGCTTGGATGGTTCTTGACCATTCACAGAACTGCCTGTACTCCCTTAATTAGAAACAGATGTCCTAAATGAAAAGGGTGATTAGAGCAATGCTAGTGGTTCAGCTGCTAATATCAAATTTCTGGCTGTATTTTGAAGTTCAGTGGGATATTTCTTTGTATGCATAAAGCAAGCAAATTTCTAAGTCGAGTGTGGAGAAGTGATTACACATTGTGATAAAACAGTTGTTAGATTTAAAAGGCATCAATTCCTTATAGTAACTATTTTCCTGAAAGGTGTTTAAATAGAACATTTGTAGATTATTTTAAGAGTTTTTCTCTGTGTATTTGTGTGTATGTAGATATGTATGTACAGCCATCTACCCTGCATATGATTGTAGAAAAATTCTGAAAGCAACTGAACTTGTGGATTATGAATTTCGGGCCTGTGGCATTGTCTTAAGTTTTTGGGGTGTTTTTGGTTTTTTTTTATTTTATTTTATTTTCTTGATCTGCAGGAAATGAGGCTCTTGGGAAATCTGTAAAATTCTGATAGATTTTTCTTCATTTGCATGTACAAAAATGGACAAAAGCTATCCCAGAGAATGCCTACTTCTGCTGAATAACAGTTAATATCATTGCTTGCAACTTATTTCACTATGTTTAATCTTTTTAATAGTAGATCTTGTTGGTTGCTTTATTGGCATTAACTTAAGAAAACAGCTTTATTTGTGAAAGTTTTTGTCATCTTAGCACAGCAGAAACATAAATTGTAATCAGCATCCCGACAAACTAGATTCAGCTGTTGTATATTTTGATTTCTGGAGTTTGTCTTTTCCCATTTCCCCTTTTTCCCCCAATACATACCTCATGAATTTACAAATATATCTTTGTCTTGCTATTCATCAGATCAACATTTCCATTCTCTTCTTTTCTGAAACTTCAGTTCTGCTTGCTGCCTTAGGAAGTCCTTCTCTCTTTCAACACTTCTGTCTGCTGCAGGTCTTTGATCACTGCTACTTTCTCTCTCCCATTTACTGTCTTTCTTTAGTCTTTGTTCACCCACATCATTCCAATGAAATCATTCATCTTTAAGGCTTCAGTGGGTTTCTCCTGTTCAGAAACAGTACTATATGTAGTTGAAGATAGATAGATAGATAGATAGATGTGTCAGAAATATTTTTTGAAGTGAATCTTTCCTTAAACCATGCCAACTGCACTTTGGTTCACTTCATGGAGCAGCCTAGGAGCAATCCCAACGAGTAATGGGCATTCAGTCCACCGGACCAGACTAAAACTAGCTGTAAAGCTTACAAGCTGCTGGAAGTTTACAGTGCAAATGTCAGATCTTCAGTGCTGGCTCTCAGTCTACAGATGCACTTATTCTGGTGCACAACATTTCCTAATGCAGATGTGGCCTCTGCTGCCTTGGCATCTGCTGCTGCTCTGGGCTTTGCTGCCCCTTCCCTCCCTCCTCCAGTCTTACCTGTTTCCACATCTGGAATTTGGTTCACCTGCAACCTGAACCTAGGCCCCACCTATGTTCAGCCTGCATCCAGCCCTGCTTACATCCAGGATTTCTAGCTGGGTGCTCCCTTAAGCTGTGACAGAAGCTGATCCTGTGTCCACTTTGACTCTCAGAGCTTCTTGTGTTTTGTTACTGCCTGGATACTTTCCTTGTGAAGTAATTATCTGTTTATGGTCTATGTGCAGTGGCTGAATGTCATTCTTCCTCTTTGAAGCACTCCACACATTGCACCTGTCTAGCTATCTTCACACTAACCTCATTTTTTTTGTAAGCCACTTTTCACCAAGTACACCATCTGACCATTTCGTCAACTGCTGTTTCATCTGTTGTGTGTAGTAGTGTCACAGCTGAAGGACAGCAGGATCTCTGCTTCAGAAAATTCTGAGAAATTTAAGAGTTTCCTTCTTCAGTAAATATACTATATTTTCCTTCATTTGTACCGGAAGTACTATATATTTTTGGTTTTGCAAAACTACATTGGGTTTTTTAAGTGGCCTTGTATGCAGCAAGTGTTCATATCTAGCTGTGTTAAGGAAAGTCCATACACATGTTCATGTATGTTAAAATGGTGTTTCTAGCAGCTTCACTGGTAATATAATTTCAGAAGTGCTTAAGAACTAACATATTTCAGTATCTTGCCACATTATTTAGACTTATTTTAATACAACACCTAATGTAACGGAAAATAAACTTGTCTCTCAGCTTTTACACTTGTAAACAAATGCTTCTGCATTGAATCTTGTTTTCTTTAAGAAGGTGATAAAAACTCAGCTGAGATATGGGAGAAATCCTTGGCCTTTCTGACCTACAAGCACTTACAGAATTAGCTACTATTGGTTCCATTTCTATCTGCCTGTGGTACAACTCTGCATATTACCCAGCCTGACAGCACTGAAGTCCAGTCGGACCTTAGGAGGAATTTCTTCACAGAAGGGGTGATTAAACATTGGAATGGGCTGCCCAGGAAGGTGGTGGAGTCACCCTCCCTGGAGGTGCTTCAGGAAAGACTGGGTGTGGCACTCAGTGCCATGGTCTGGTTGACAGGGTTGTGTTTGGTCAAGGCTTGGACTCAATCTCTGAGGTCTTTTCCAGCCTAATTGATTCTGTGATTCTGTAATCCCGAGTTTTTTCCAGGTGACTCATTTCTGACCACAAACTCTCTTTCTGCCGTTTAATTACCATCTGTTTGCTAATGCCATTTCATGTCTGTGGTTTGTACGTTTTTCAGGGGCAGGGCTCTCTCCCTGGTAAACAAGAAGTGCCAGATTTATATGGTTGCTAGCAGTATGTGTTCACTGTGCTGCAGGGGGCAAATTAGGACTGTATCAAAGCACACAATTTGAAATTTCTGGGAAGATAACCTTTTATCTAAATCAGGCAATGAATATGCCTGCAGAATAGAAAATGGACTCTGGTGTCTGAGGATAAGCTATTTAATTATATTGGGGGGGCTTTCTAAGTATATTTCTATTTTGGGTGTATGCTTGCAAATATATAAATGCAAGAGTCTCCTCTCCCCAGTGAAAGCACACACACACACACAAAACATGCAGTGTTCATTACTTAACTACTTATCAAGGAAGATTTTTTGTTTGTTTGTTTTCCTAATGTAACCGGAAGAATGCTCCAAAAATACTTAACACAGTAATTGAATCAGAGGAAAATCAAAGGGATCATCTGTTGCCGTGTCTGTTTTAGCTCTCTGTTTAGGATATGTTTCAAGATGGGTTTGTTTGTTGGGTGTTTTAGCAACATCTGTTCCAAGTCTTGTTCTCTCTGTGTGTATTTTGTGTGTGTGTGGAGGGAGATGTTTAAGGTCTGTTAAGCCATTTGTTCAAACTGGCTTTGCAGCAGCATCAAAGAAATTTGAAAGGCTACAGCAACTTTTAAGGGGGAAAAATGTCCAAAGAAATAGAAAGCAAATATGCCACACTTAGATTTTTGAGAGATGTTTAATTAATGCTCATGAGGATTTTTACTTTCAAATAACCTCTAAGGAAAAAGGTCATTAATATAAAAGAAGTAAATAATTTTACTGAAGGTTATTGAAAAAATCCCAACTTTCTGTAGTGTGCTAAAGCTTAGTTAATGCAATTTTAAAGAAAAAGTATTAACTTGAAATTACTGAATATTGACCTGTTAATGACAGCTTGTTATTAACAGTTGTTACTTCCTGGCCATGCTGGGATGGTGTTTGATGGTATTTGAAGAAGAGATATGCAATAAAGAGGAGTTTTAGGTATTCTTTAAGGAGACCTTAGTGTTAAAGGCTATCCAAGAGGGATCAGACATGTTGTGATGGAAGACCATGTGGATATTTCTCGTAAGTTGGTCTTTTGTGAATTCTTTTCTGAGTGTTTTTGACACTAGAAAGTTTGATACATCTTGCCTCAAGTATGTTACTTCATTCAGTTCTTAGTATTTTGCTTCTGAAGCTACGGATTTCTTTTTTATTTACTTAGTTTTTATTTTTTTTGTGGCATCTGGATTTAATTACTGGATGCTGCCTCACCAGTGCAAAGGAGGAAGTACAGAATTTGGACTAATCTAAATGTTCTGCTGTAGGAAGATCAAAATATACATGAATTACTGTTTTAGTCTTCTCTGCTGAGTGTACAGACTGTTTGTGTAGCAGATGATTCATAGCTTTGCTGATACCTCTGTGGGGTTTTGTGTTTTGATTTGCATCTTAAAAGCTTAATTAAAAAAAAAAATCTACAAACCGGTCCAACAGAGTTTCATAGAAATATTTAAGAATACAGAGGGACAGAAGCTTTTTCACTGCAACCTATAGATGAACAACTTCTGCACAAATCTATAAGCTTAATTAAATATATATATTCTTCTAGATTGACAGGATTTTATGTTGTTTATGGTAGTTTTATTGTTGCAGACTTGTGAACATTTGTTTTTGATGCCACTCTTTTCCAGTACTTTTGAAGTCTGTGATAATTAATTATGCCTTCTGTAATAGATGAGTGACTTGAAGTTATTGATACTAGTCTTAAAATAATCTTTTTCCTTTTCTGTCTTTTTCCAAAATTAGATAATATACCTGAGAGAATCCCCAGAAGATGTGTACAGGCTTATATTGGCAGGAAGTGTTTCATATCTACCTTTCAGGTAAATAACAAGCTGGTAGAGCCCTCTGTACCTTGATATTTTGAAGAAGAAAGTAACATTTTTCAGTACTACTTTGTGTTGGGGTTTCTTTGTGCTGAAGTTTTTTCATGGGACATGTTGCCTTTCTGGACTTTAAGTACTCAGAGAGTAGGGGTGTCAGGAGCTGGTGCTGAAGTGTGCTGGCATGAGATGGACACACTGCTTTGTGTGCGCTCTCCTTGAGCTTTTTGATCTGCGTTGCTTCTCATTTAGCAGTCTGATTTTGTACCAGTAGTTGACAGTTGATCAAAATATCTGTCATTCCCCACAAATGGCTTGTAACACTAAATAGCATCATCATGGCCAGGCTTCAGGAACGAAGATTTGGGGAGGGCTCTGCCCGCATTAGTTACAAACACACTGGTGGCTGAAAAGGCCAATACGAGACAGACACGTCCGGTTGCAAAAGGCACAGCAGAAAGACTCCTTAGGTGGGAAATTCTGCAAGACACGATTCTTTCTGCGTTGTCTTTTCTCCTCCAGGGTGATCCTGCTGCGTTCTCAAAGGCATCAGCAGCGTTAGAGATGGGGTGTCTCCAGACCTCCTGATTGGAGGCCAGAGCAGACCAGTTCTGGTGATCAATATGGCCAAGGCTGAGATGTTGTTTCAGGCAGTCCTTGTATCTCCTCTTTGGGGCTCCTCTCTTGCAGCAGCCGGTGGCAAGTTCACCATAAAGCAGGATCTTAGGGAGGGGGTGGTTGGTCCTTCATCCTGGAGACGTGCCCTGCCCAGCACAGCTGTGTTCTCAGCAACATGGCCTCAATGCTTGTGACTGCTGCCTGTTCTAGAACAGATGGATTGGTCACATCATCTGACCAGTGGATGTTTAGGATTGTTCGGAGGCAGCGTTGATGGAAGCGTTCCAGGAGTCGCAGGTGGTGGCTGTAGATGACCCAGGATTCAGATCCATATGAGAGAGTAGACAGCACTATGGCTCTGTAAACACTGACCTTGGTACTTTTCTTCAGGTGTTTATTTCACCAAACTCTTTTATGAAGCTTTCTGAAGGCACTGTATGCCTTTGCTAACCTGTTGTCTGTCTCCCCGTCAATCTCACCATCCGAGGAGATGAGGCTGCCTAGGGAATTAAACTGCTGGACTGATTTGAGCTCTGATTGCCAATGGTGATGTGGGGATGATGGGGGACTTCCTGAGATGCAAGTTGATAGAGAACTTCTGTCTTCTTTAAGCTGACTTCCAGCCCAAAGAGCTCAGCAGCGTCTGCAAAGCAGGATTTTAAACACTGCAGGATCCAGGGGCAGCTCTGGGCAACCTGTGACAGGGCCTCCCCACCCTCACAGACTAAATAGCATCCTTTCTGCACCAAGCAGTCTCTGGAGATTGCTGAGCTTCCCACAAGTGGGGAGTTGTAATCAGTGCATTCAAGGAACCTCTTGAATTGCCTGTGCCATGCTGTGCTATCCCTTCAACAGATACCAGAGTGGTTGAAATTCACCATAAGGACCAGCACCTGTGGATGTGAGGCTGCTCCTGTCTGTCTGTCTGTCTGTCTGTACAGGGCTTTGTCCATTTGTTCTTCCTCGTCAGGTGGGCTGACAGACACCCACTACAATGTCACCTTTGTGTGTCTTTTCTTCTGCCTGAATGGGATTCTGCTGTTTCCTTTTCCTGCTGATTTCTGCCCCACTCACCTTTCACACTGACTCAGAAGGAAGGAAAGGGTAGAAAAAAATTTTAGAGGCAACCATCCAGGTACTTCGAAAGTTCTTCCTCCTGTCAGTTAAAATTGAACATAATACATTTTTTACTTATTAGAAACATTAGCAATTCTCTGTTGATAAGGGCTGCATGGTCTCAGAAGATGATGTTCTGCCAAGACATAATATTCTCTGATGTAGATTCAGTTTAATTTATTTATTTACTTGACTAAAGTGTTCCTGTAGAATGCTTACTCTGTAGTGCTTATGGAATCTAACAAAGGTCACTTAATAAGAATATGCCATTCCTGGATCAACAGAATTTAAAACGTAGTTGAAAGAAGGGATTGTAATGAAACTGGTTTCTCCTCTTGTTTAAACATAAACTATTTATGCGTCTTAAGGGAAGTATTTTATTGTATCTACACCAATGTTTATCTTGACAGTTTCAGTAAGAAGATGCTGTTCACATATATGAAGAGTGCATGTGCACAATCTCTTTCTTCTTTTAAATGGAGCAGATTATTAAAATCCTACTTTTTTGAAAGTATACTTCAGAGGAAAATATTCAAAGAATGTGTGTTAGAATATGATACTTATTTAGGAATTAGCTTTTGCCATAAGGAGTTTGTGCTGTCTGTTGTTTGTTGATGAATACCAAAATATGCCAGTTTTCCTATTCATGTCAGAAATAGAATGTCAGCTTTACCAAAACTGTAACTGGAGTAATCTTACTCTTGTATCTGTTAAAATAACTTATTTTATATTTTGTTATTGTTGTAAGATGCAAGGTGGGTAATGAAGTAATCATTTGACATAATTACTTCACTGTAATAGTAATTACCTTGAAGCAATTTTTTAAAGGTGTTTTAGAGAAGTATCTTCAACTGGTTTCACTTGGATTAAAATGGAATAATTACTGGTTTGGTCATCATATCTTATAGGGATGCTTCCTTTGGTACTTGCAGTTTTCATCTGACATTGCTGGACTGTTTTCATGCAATAAACAAGGTCAGTGAACTAATATTTTTCATATTGCAAAAAGTTAGCTAAGTATTGCCCATTAGAAAAAGAATGTTTAGGAATTTAGGATCCAATTAGAGCTGTGAAGTAGCAGGTTTCCTGATTGTTACCTAGCTTATTAGGCACTGTAACAAAACTGGATACAGCATCCATAGAAGTCAACAGATACCTTATATAATCAACTAGTGAAGATTTCAAAGTGGGAATTTTGAGATTTATTTTTGTAATAAAATAAAGGACAGTAATTCACACCTCTAATCCCTCAGAGTTGCCTGTTAGGTTTATTATATGCCCATGTTCCCCTGGTGTTAAGTTTTAGGCTGAATATAGCCTTTTGAAGTGGTTTTGAATTGGTTAGTCAGACACTTCAGGCATTTGCAGCACATGCTAACGATTTCAAGTTTTGCTTTAGTAATACAAATAGAACAAATGTCAGGAGGTAGGTGCTTATTTTATCTACAAATTATCATAATCTAGTGTTTTATAGCAATACAGTGGTGCAGTAACATATTGAAGGACAGGAGAATTTAAACGACTTCTTTTTAGTCTGTATGAGTAGTGAAATGGGGAATTCTGCAGCTCTCCACCCTACTACTGTCTTTTGTGTTATGGATATCGCTGCCAAATTCTAGTGTTTTCACTGGTTAAGTCAGCTTCTTGCAGATTTGTGATTTTCAGCTTTTTTAGATGTTTTGAAGGCTGCCTGTATGTCAAGAGTGGTGCATTGCTGTTCTTGCTGGAACAGCAAGGAAAACTACAGAAGATCACACAATGGAAGAGAAAACTAGACTGTATGATTTCAAATACCTGGAGCTTTGGCATTATCTGTATTTGTGCCTCCTGATTTAACAAGTGGATAAACTATCAATTACCCAAATGATTACATTTTTTTTTACTTTAGAATGTACTCCTGACTTCAACAGATACTTTTGCCAGTTATTTCCTTGGTTTTTTTTACTTTTGTGCACCTAGCAGTAATAAAAAGGCTGAATGCTTCAGTAATCTGGGATTTTGTAGTGATTCATTGAAAAAAGAAAAAAATCGATTTATTCATCTTCACTTGTATTGAAATTTGCAAATCTGTTTTGAGCCAAGACTGAGTTGACCTGTATTTCTTCAGTCACATGAAGAAAGCTCTTTGAAAGAATAGTATGGGTATTAAGGGACTTTCAGTAACCAAAAAATGTGATAAACTGTCCTCTTTGAAGAGACATCTTTGTTAAAAGCTGTGTTCTGAATTTTAGGCTTTGCAGTATGGTTTCCTGGATTTTAGTACGTTTGATGTAAATGAATATGAGCATTATGAAGTAAGTGTTCAGTATGAGTCTTTTGATTTGTTTGCTGTTACTAATGCTAAAGTGATTGTTTATAATTTGTGCTACTTTTTGTAGTATTAAGTTCCGGTTCTGTTTTATCTCTTTAAACTATAATGTCAATTCTGCTAGTTAAATAAAAGTGCATGGTCAGAGAGAATATTAAAATTCAGATTTAAGCATAATTGGGCTCAATCATGGAGGAAAGCAGAAACCAAAATGGAAGTAAATACCTTTTTCTGTTATTAAACCCTAGAAGTTGATCAGGAGTGTGAATTTGGACACCTTTTAGAGGTCACACATATTCTTGAGCAGTCTTGATGAAAAACTGGAGGGCACACAAGCCTGAGTCTAACTGAATGCTGGAGAACAATCAAAGTATCTATCTGTGAACACAGGGCAAAAGTATAGTAACATTCTTTGAGGTAAAGAAGGAAACAGGGCTGGAAAACCCCAAGTGCATAAAGTTCACTTTGGGGCCTAAGAAATGATTGTGACAATGAAGGACTGCAACTCTTCACTACATACAGTTTCAGAAATGCAAAGCTGCCAGTTACCTGTAAAGAGGAAATTTGAGTGTTCTTACGACCTAAAAAATCATTATTTAAATTGTGAACAGAGGTGAGGTGAGACCAATAATTTAGAAACCTATACAAAATTAAAAATTGGAAGTTGCCCTTCATCTGAAGGGCATGAGTTGTACTGTTCTAAAACCCTCATTCAGAAAGATGAGAACACAGGCAGGAAAAGTAAGGTTGAGAGCATCTGCCATCCTCAGGATGAAAAAGAAAGCAGGCAACTAACATAACTTCCTTTGACAAAAATTGTGCATCAATTCTATCTAGCATGTATTTTGAAACAATAAGGAAAAGCCTGAAAATACAGGGATAATGATAAACCAAGCATTTTCTCTTGACAGAGAGCAGAAAATGGAGATTTTAACTGGATAATACCAAACAAATTCATTGCCTTCAGTGGACCTCATTCAAGGAGTAAAATTGAAAATGGTATGCTTAAAAAAGGAGGTGGGGGACACGAGCCCACTGCTTTCTTAGTTGATTGTTATCAGTATGAACAAGCTTTGAAAATTGTTCCTGAAACAGTGTGTTTTTTCCTTGGCTCTTTTCCTTTTATAAGAACTCTGGCAGTAACATTGTAATGCTTGGTTTAATTGTATCTGACCTAGGCGATTCTGTTAGAATTCCATTTTCGGTTAGTCCGTTTCTTTGTGTTTAACATGAGTTCTCTTTTGAGAGTGTTTTCATCTCTTGTTTTTTTAGTCTTTGTTTATTTCTGCAGTTTGAGCCTCACTCGCTTCCTTTTCTTTTTTTTTTCCCCCTCTTCTTTTCTCAAACAGGCTATCCCCACCATGCTCCAGAGGCTTATTTCCCATACTTCAGGCAACACAAGGTCACCACTATAATACGCCTCAACAAAAAACTCTACGATGCCAAACGATTCACAGATGCTGGATTTGAGCATTTTGACCTCTTCTTTGCTGATGGAAGCACCCCTAGTGATACTATAGTTAAAACATTTCTAAACATTTGTGAAAATGCTGAAGGTGTTATAGCTGTTCACTGCAAAGGTACAGTGTGAAAACCAATTTGTATTACAAGTGATGCCTATTAGTTACTGTTCCTGAGGTATTTTGCACTGTAATTCTATTTTATCTAGTTAAAGACTAGATGCCAAACTGCAACTATTCCATACCAATTATTTCCATACAAATTATTTTCCATTTGAATTGTTTCGATATGGTTCTGTTCGATACTTCATCTTCTAATTTTTTTTGGAGTTCCAGAAAAATCTTCCCGGCCATTCCCAAAAATGAGGATGGAGAAAGCGAGCTTTCCAACATTAACAGATCTTTCTGCTAGAAGGTGTTAGCACTTTCCAAGGATGCTTTTGAGCAGGAATTTGAACTCCTGGCAAGGTTGTTAGGTCTTTCTAAAAATACATGATTAAGTAGACAAATCATAAACTTTTGGAAATATCAGCGCAGCTTTTGGAGGAGATTCCTCAAAAAGTATGAGGAAAAATTGTCATCCCTCATAAACTCTGTGTACTATTGGAGACGCTCTGAATATCTGTTCCTCCAGAGCTAGACTGCCAGTTTTTCCAGAGCATGCCCAGTGTAGGTAGTGTAATGATGCAGTTTTCTGTGATTATAAAGGCAGTATGTTTCCCTTCCCACACCATCTTTAATAGTCTTACCAAACATTTCTTCTCCACAACTCTGCCTCAGTAGCATACCTGATAATGCTGTTATTGAAGGAGAAGGGCCTTTTCTTAACCTGTCTGCTTTGGACTTGCAAAGACTACATTTTTGCTCCTGGATCTGCCATCCATTTGCTGCATTTAACAGAGTTATACTGGGAAGTGAAAGACTTGTTAAAACCAGCATTTTGACTATTGGCATAAAAGTGCACACTCTTATTCCTCACTGAGGTGATAAATTCCAGTATATCACTTAGTTGGTTATGCCAGAATATTGAGTATCAGTGGTACAAGTGCTTTGTTTTCGTTCAAATTAAGATATTCTTTGATATATGTCTTACTGATGGTGTCTGGGCTAGCTTTATGGTCCTTATCCTGCTCTTGAGAAAGAGTAGAATGCTGTAGCCTGTTCTTGAAGCTGCACAAGTCATGGAAAGTGCTGTGTGGTTGTCTTGGCTGTTGGGTTATACAAAAAATTTTCCAGTGCTGTTGGTCAGTCAGTGAGGTGTTAAATGAGAGAAGGTGGTGGGTGATTTGACATTTAGAGCAAGTGATTGAGGAGAGGCACCACTTAGCTGGAGCTGTCCTCCTTTCCTTCTTATTGCAAAATTTTTCTTTTTCTTGGGAGCTAAGAAGATTTATTAGAGGAGGGACTGGAAGAGCAGGTGGTTTCAGTGCATAATCTGTTTGCAAGAAGGTGCTGTGAGAATTCTGAAAAAAAAAACCAAAAAACCAAAAAAACAAGCCAGCTGTTTTATTCTATGCATAAAAACATTTCATACCTACACACATACATATTCATAGATAGGTAAATAAAGATAGACTTATGGATATTTGTAAGGTTGCTGGCTTTGGAATGTTACCTCCCTTAAAAAACGTGAACAGTGTGTTGCTAGCCTTGTATATGAAAAAAGTATCAAAAGGTGAGTTGCACTTAACCAAGTTTGATCAGTAAGGGTTTGTTTAATAAACTGGGCAAGGAACAAGTAACAACATCTGCAGTTACACAGGTTCCAGATGAAGAGGGTGTATAAGAGAAGCCTTTCTTTTATTTTACACAGCCGGTCTTGGCCGAACTGGCACACTTATTGCCTGTTATATCATGAAGCATTATCGGATGACAGCTGCTGAAACCATTGCCTGGATTAGAATAAACAGACCTGGTTCTGTGATTGGACCACAACAACATTTCCTGATGGAGTAAGTCAATTAACTGGAAATTATTTCCAAAAATAAATCTAGATGTCTTCTTCTGCTGTGCACTTAATAATCTTCAGTGTTAATTTGTTTTGTTTTGGGCCTTTTTTTCCATGTTATGATAGCAAACAGGCAGAGCTTTGGACAGAAGGGGATATTTTCCGTGCAAAGTTGAAAGGAAACCATAAAATTGCTGTAACAAGAATTCTGTCAGGAGTAGATGATATTTCAATTAATAACACGAGAAACAGGAGAAGCATCCAAAAGGACATTGAACTGGTAACCATCCAAATATTGTGCTCTTGTAAAAGCTGGAACTTGTTGAGAATCTCTCAGGTTCTGAACAAACCTGTGGGTACAAAATGAAACAATGTTAATGAGATTCTATTTGTGTTTGCCCTTTTTGTGTAAAGGGATATGGGGGGGGAAAAGTGTGGACAGCAACTATGAAAAATGAAGTTCAGAACACAGGTGAATTACGAGCATCATTATCATGCTTTAGTAATTAGATAAATAACAGACCAAAAAAGTACTCACAATCTGCAATTTGTGATTTCATTTTGGATTGTCTGATTCTTCATTCTGTGTGTTTGAAGGAAAGGGATGAAAGGTTTTTTTACTCTTTTTGGTTTCCAAGTAATTGAAACTTCTATAATACCTTTTATAATACCTTTTGAGAAAGACTGTACTACTCTTTTAAAAAGGCATGTGAAGGAGGGAAATGCTGTATTGTTCTGTACCTAAGCAAAGATTTGACAGTATATTATTTCCACTGTTTAAAAGTAGACAATATTCTGATGCATGTAATTCATGACACCACTTAATGGTTTATAGCTTCAAAAGCAGCAAACAGGAAACTGGAAGGAACAGAACTGTATTTATGCAAGTGAATTTCCTTTACCTTTTTTTCCTGTTGGGATAATTCTAATTCTAAGAGTTAAGATAAGGTTAATTCTTAAATATCAAGGTACCTGTGTTTTAATCTTGGTTTATCCCTTCCCCCCCATCCATTATCCAGTACAGTGATGACGATGAAACAAACTGTTTAACACAAGGGGATAAACTTCGTGCTCTGAAAAGCAGAAGGCAAGCAAAAGCTCCAGCTGCATCTCCATTATCGTAAGTCAGTTTAAATCTTTAAATATTTAAAATGCCAGAAACACTTTGATCCTCTTCTTTATGCATATGTTTGTTGCCAGGGCTGCTTTTACTCCCTTAGAACAAACCTGGTGTTCACCGTTTCTCCCAAGGCTTGGTGCTGAGGAGAGCTTGATTAAAGAACTGCATGACTGAATTCCTGGTTCTCTGGGTACTTTTGGATTCTGGTTGTCTGCACTTTACAAGCTCCCACAGTATTTCTGAATGCTTTACTTTGAGTTTAGTCACAAACATTCTCTTGTCTTTGCTGTAGTAGTATAAAAACAGAAGACTATGACTGTGTGTGGTTGATTGGATCAAATAAGGTACCTGCTGGTGTTTGAAGTAAAGTCAGCCACCCAAAAAGGGGTTGAAAGAAGGATTTTTAGCTTCCCTTAAGTTTTCTCTTCCTTGGAGAGGAACTTTCCCTAAATCCTATGGGCCTCTGGAAGGCAGAGTAGCACTGTTCCAGTAAACAAATTCAAAAGAAGTGCATTTCTGTCAGGGAACCTGGTATGGTAGTCTCTTTATTGTAGACAAGACCTGAAACACCACCTGTAAAAGAAAGTTTGCATCTGTTGCAGCTTGTAGCAACTGTAGGTAGAAAAACTTTTAAATAAACTGCAAGAGAATGCAAGGCTTGCAAAACATAGCTGGATCTCATTTGATTGCTAGGAAAGGAACAGTGACCTCTATCTCTCAGATTTTTAAAACTGACACAGCACCAGAGTCACAGACCACAGTCAGCTTGGTTTATGTTGTGCTGCCCTTCTGTAGGGGATGATGGTGCTACCTGCTGGCATTTTTTTTCCTTCTTTCTTGTTCTTTTTGAAGATCACCAGTGTCATCAGTCTTTTAGAAAAAGTGAGAGGTACGTAGTAAAATGTGCTGAAGCCAAAGGAATATTTCCTTGGAAACTTTCACACGTTGCTATGTGTGATTCTTGCTTTTGTTTTAAAATACTCTCTTTTGTTCATGCTCATCATTTACACAGGTGATCACATAAGAAATAACACATTTGGAACAAAGCCTGTACCCAGCTGACACTTTAAAAAAACACGAAACTCATCACCTCAGTTACCTCAAATAACACAGGAAAAAACAGCTACCTTACACATTGGTCTCTAAGGCACATAAGTGCCTTAGTTGCCACTTCATAATATTTTTTTCATAAAAGGTACTTTAAGTTATATCATTAAGGTTGTGAAAGATCTTATTTATCATATGTTCCATAGAGTGAATGTAGGCTGTGTGATAACCTGTTCAGAGCCATTGTCTTAAGATGCAGAAAACCCATCAACTATTAAAATATTATTCCATTCATGACATGTTCTGCAACATGGCTGCTCTAATTAAATTAAAACTAGTTAGCTTGTACTTTTGTAGAATGACAATAATTGCCCTAGAGCTTACAGCTGGTTTTTATAGTGTGCATCGGGGCTTAGGGGAGTTTGAATTTACCTCATCCTCTTCCCCCTAAGTTATTTGTATGGTTTGCAACTTGTACTCAAATAATTTGGTGAAAAATGCATGTGTAACTTCATACCTTCTTTGTGATGCTATTGTTTTATCTCTAGGAATATTTGTCTGCCTTACATGGGTCCGAGGTTTTTCCTACTAGAAGAGGTGTCAGTCTCTTCCCTTTATAGTTCAGACTGTTAAAAATAACTAGCCTTGCAGTGAATTTGATTACTTTTATGTAAACAAACAAACATAAGCTTCTAGATCTCCTATGTAGTTTTATTTCAGAGAAGAAAAAAAAAAACAAAACAAAAACAGACGAGGGCAAAATAGGAGTACCAGAAGCTGGGACAGTTACAGTCTTTGAAAATTAGAGGCATTACTTACACTTAAGTCACAGGGGATTTATGTAGAATGTTTATTGAAGTTGGTTGTATAAACTCTTTCTGCTTTGATGAATGGACTCTGTGTATGTTGTGATTGGCAATATTCTGCACCTTTTGGCAAAGGATTATGAGTTGGCTTTTGCTTCTTTGGACACAAGAAGGTGATACATGACATCATCTGGATGTTTACATGAATTGTTTGTTTCTGCAAACTTATCTGGCTCTGATCTTATGTTTTAGTATTAAAATGTATGATTGTGAAGTAGGATATATGAATATATGAATACAGGATATCAGATGGCAGCAAGTGATCAGAGACGTATTGCTCCTGCATGCACTTATGTTCAAGGGTGACACAGACTCCCTTTGGAATAAATGACTACAGTGAGGATTTCAGAAAATTTACTTTGGTTCCAGCAAAATATCGGATATTACATTTGGCAAATTACAGCTGCAGGAATTGTTAGTAAGTAAGAAAATGCTTGGCAGAGGTTGTGGAGCAGTATGCATTTGAAGAGCCTGAAACAAGCTAAAATGCACCAACAGCTTTTGCTTTTGAATTTTTGTTCATCTTTTCCTCCCCCCTCCAACCCCTTTTATAGATGGTTCCTAGCTATGCTGGTGTCTACACTGTGTAGCATTGTCATCTGGTGGATTATTTGTGGCTCCCTCCTGCCCAGCCTGCTATTCTGTCTAGATGGTTTAAGAACGTAGTAACCATCAGGACCCCCTGAGAGAGAGCCACTGTGTAAGTGTCCCATTCCATTTCTCTACAATAGCTCACACTTTCTGTCTACTGTGTCTCATAAATGCATGTTTCCATGTTCATGTTTCTTACTGGCTTTGTTGCAAGGGAAAATTTCACTGCTCTGGCTTTGTTATATTTTTGTATATATTACTTGGAATAACTGAGTGACTTTTATGGCTGCCTTGCAATAAAAAAGGTGCAGAGCTCTTATAATTAGAATAATCTATAATTTTTAAGGCTTTCTTCTCTGCATGCTCCTGCAAATATGCAAAACTACATAAGCAAAACTAGCTGTAGAAAGGAAAAAATACTGCTTTAAAATATATCCTATCCTTTGAATATTGCAGATGAAGGTGTTAGCTTCAGTTTTACTTTGAAATTCATGAACTTGCAAAGGAGGTTAGTTTCCCAAAGGATGGTTTTATTCCCACGAAATGCCAGGAATTAGAATTTGTTAGAAATGTCAGTAGGTCTTTATTTTTATAAAGAGATTAAACATTATATGCCATGGCATAAAACACGACTTCTTTTTTCCTTTTTAACATAACAGAAAATGGGGTAGGTTGCAGTGTTAGGTCAAGGCTCACTGGTTTACCCAGCCAGTCTGGTTTCATCCTCTTTTGTTCTCAATCATTTTTTTATAGAACTTTATGAGACTACTTAAATCCCTTTTTTCTGTTACTTGGATTCAGGAGCTAAGAAAAGCATTAATAACATAGCAGTTCCTTGTGTACAGTTTTCACTCTTTATCCACTCTGCTTCTGTCAGAGTGGCTGCAGTGATTGCTGTGCCTTGCTTCCACTTTAAAGATGCAATGTTTTCATCAAATGACAACTTACATCTTTTGGCTAAACAGAAACTTCCTCAGCGTGCAGAACTGCCAGGAAATCCAAATGAACTCTTTGCTGGCTTCTGAGTCTCCCTGGAGCTCTTGTGTCACCACCACCCTCAGAGTGGGATGGTTATTTAGGGTGACTGCTTGAAATCTTGGTGCTCTCGAAGAATGAAAATGGTCAGAAGGTGTTTTACATGAGTAAGAACAAACAGGCATTCTCTCCTGGCAGAACATGAAGATTAAGAGTTTCTGTCATCCTTACCTTTGACCTTGCAACTTTTTGTCTGCACTTTTAAAATGCATGGTACTCTTTCTGCTGAAGTAAGTGACCTAATAACTGAAGAATGAGAACTGGGGGACTTGTGGACAGCTTAGTTATTCTGTTAGCCTTGGCTGAGGTCATCTTAACCTGTTCTTTTTGGAGAAAAAAAAAGATCAAGAAGTAAAGGTCACTTAAGCTTTGTTTATTTTTCCCCCTAACCCTGTCAAGTAACTTAGATGAGAGGCTTGTTTTCAAAGTTTTGCACCAAATGTGGATTATTTCTTGTCTCAGTGATCTCCAAAAGTCAGACTTTAGATTTCTGAACTCATACTGAAAAACTGAAGTCACAACACAGATTAAAGAGATGAAACAATCTGTGCTTTGTTTTTCTGTACTGTAGGATCAACTTCACTCAACTCTCCTTTCTTTCTTTTGCTGTTTCTGTGTTCAACTAAACAATGCCATGCTCAGAGGGAAAGATGGAAGATGGAGGTTGGTAAATGTGATGCAAGCAACTGGGTTACTGGTGCTACTACTTCATATTCAGGATTAAGAGTCATACAATGTTTGTTTAAATCGAGGAAGAGAAAACGCTTGAGGTTTTCTTAAAATCTAACTCTCTTTCTATTATCCAGCTAGTGTTCCCTGTGTTTTGAGGGATCAGATTATCAATCAGGATCATGAATCTCTCTGGACTAGCCTGGCAGTCCTGTTGGCTGGAGCCCTGTAGGCTGAAGAGTATCAGTCACTTGTTGCCTGTAAGTGACTTGGAAAAGTGGTCAATGTCTCAGGTCTATTTTCTTAAAACTCATGAGGTGATGAAGGAGAAAGCAGTATTGGACTTGACAGACTTGTCAAGACTAAAATGCCCATTGCAAGACAGAGAAGACATACAGCTGTGTAACCTGTCTTTCCCTCATCCCTTCTTAGGATACTGTAATCACTTTTAAAATATGTTGTGTGGATTGATTTCTCTCCAATATGTATTTATTACCTTGCTGACTTTGTCTTGGGTTATGTGGTTTGGGCTTTTGTGTCCTGGTGATGTACCTGTGTACCACCCTTGCTCTGAGTTAAGTGGTGAAAAAAAGCTGTGAATTATTTCAAAGATGCTGCCACTGATCCAAACACTGTTCCATTGAAACAGGTTTTGCTTTGTTTAAAAATCAATGTACTAGCTTGATTAATAAAGCAGCACATAAAGCAGTCTGCTGTTTGGGGCATGTATTTAGGATCGGAACTACCAAGTGATGTTTCCATTACAGATTAACTGGAGGTGTGTGTTCAGTAGATATTAGTGGATATTACAGCATCCTGTAGCCTGTGTTTAGAACACAGGCACCCCAGGATACCACTGGCCTTCTTGGCCACAAGGGCACACTGCTGCCTCATATTTCAGTTCATGTTAGATAAGTACACGGGTTTAAGCCATTGTGCATTGACTTGTTTTCTGAATTTCTGATATCTAGAAAAAATGGGCATCTATGAGAGCAAGATTATACACATTAGGTTATGTTCCAGTAATTTTTGTTTTCTTGTATGTGTACGTTACGTGCATTTTATACAGAGAGACGCCAAATGGATATATTTAAGGAGGAAACATAATTTTTCCCTATTTCTGTTTGCATGAGCACTAGTAAACCAGTATGTGCCATGATTTGGTCATGCATATATTTCAGTGACTAAATATTATGAGGGTAAGCTCTCTCTGTACTTTTCTCTTCAGTCCTAGAAGCTGTGAGCAGCACAGATGAAAGGTACAATGCGGGTCTTCTTTCACCACTGGTGTCATTTCCAGGGCTTGGTTGAAAGTGTGGTAGACCAAATTTGTTCATGCTGTAGGACAACTGTGGCACTGAAAACAGAATTTTAATATTGGAACTTGTAGGAACTGTTCTGCACTCACAACAGAAACTACAAAGTGAACTTTCGGGATTTGAATGTTTTCACCTTGGGCATGCAAGGAAAACATATTTTCCTTAGAAGAATTTGTGTTGTCTACAGAAGCACGATATGATGTTGAAGGTATCTGGGTTGCAGTTTTTTCTGCCTCTCGTGTAAGTCCTTCAACTTTGAATGTGCTGTGTTTACAGCAGAATTTGCTTTGTATTTTAGTAGTACTTCTCATTACAGTCTTGTCTCAGAGGAACTCACGGTTTTGTTTGAACTTCTGCAAATCAAGTTATAATCTTTTCCTAGGCTGAAATAATAAGACAGACTTATTCAAGCAGAATTTTAAAATACTTGAACTTTGTGGTTATGTAGTAATTTGTTTGCTAAACAATCAAGAAGTGTGTGGTAGAAGTTAGGTTGCCGATCAGTTTTGCTGCATAAAGAGTATATTTTAGATGAAATTGTATTATCTCCAATGCACATTCTGATTCTGGAATGAAACCCATATAAACAATGAAAACATAGGGGGTTTTTTCCATTTCTGTTTTTGGTGAGTATGTTACATGAGTATATAAAAGTATATTTTCTCCCATTTCTTCCACTTTTGCTCCAGAAGTTAACATTCTCTATTCACATTTAGGATTCCTTGAAAATAGTTTCTTCAGGTTATTAACCAACCAAACTGTAATTTATCCAACTTAAATGAAGTTTCTGATTTCCAGTCTAATATAATCTGCTGACAGAACTGGACTCAGTGAAGCCACTAAAAATTAGAGTCTAAGAACAGCAGGGGAATAAATACTAATAACTAAGTTACTCTTAGCTCTGAATCTCTAAAAAGATGCATACTTTTATATTTGGAACCTTGCACAAGTAGAATGACTAGAGAATAGATGTATGAAATGGTGCACTAAGTAGGACTCCATTAACCAGTTGTCACTTTTTGTTCTCATAGTATCTGGGAATACAGGAGATATGGTTTCCTTGTGAACCAGTTGTCTGGTGGATAAAAACAGTTGTTTGCATTCCACAGCCTGGAATTCTTTTCTCATTAATGTAAGCAACTCTAGAATTTATCTGCCTGTTTAAGAAATAGTCAATATATTGCTCAAAATCTTCTAGAGAAGCATTTGAGCACAATCAGCATGTAAAGCTGAGTTTTGAGTAGGGTGCAGTAATTCCCTCTAAGAGCAAAATGCCAACATATGCAATGATTTTCCTATTTGAAGGGACTATTTCATGGTAAATTGCAGGAGATTTAGACTTTGATCTTCATAAATTGAATTACTTGGGGTTTTTTTCTGAATTCTGTGTAAGTCTGAAAAGCAATGTTTGGTTTTTTTGCCTATTTCAGATTTTATAATTTTTTTTATTCGTTGCAGTAATCTAAAATGCAATTTCTTTTTTTTTTCATCTTTCCAAAACCTAACAGGAAATTCAAAACCAATAATTTAATCCATGTCTTGAAAGCAAAAAAACCTCAACAAAACCAACGAACAAAGGAAGCTGCTATGCTCCTAATAAAAACAAGTTGCATTACCACAATTGTAACAAGGATGCTATAAAAGAGAAGGATGTGTTTCAGGCAGAAGAGTTTGCTTTTCAGAATGATTTGTGAAAAGCCAGCTGCTACTTGTTAACTCTATGCAACTGTTACACCCTCTTTTCAGTGTCTTCTAGAAACTTCCTGGTTATATAATCTTTCTTTTTTCCTACTCTTTACAGAGTAATTCTGCAGTCCAGTGTTCAGAAAAATAAAACCTCTGAACCTAGCATTTCTGACAGTACAGACATTACTAAAAGAACTACCAGGTCTGCTGCGAGAAAAAACAATTTGAAAAGGTGAGAGTTAACCTCTTTACAGATCCAGTAACTGTTCTCTAGGCAAATACTTTTGAGCTGCTGTACCCGTTGCTGGCAGGAGCTTTGCCACAGTCCAGCCTTTCTCCTGGCAGTGGGAAGTGAGAAACAATTGTATGGTTTATGTCATGTACCGAGAATATCTGGAAATATATTTCTTAAGACATTTGTTTATGTTGCTCAGTCTTTCAACTTTGAGAATTTTATGTTGTAATTCCTAATGTGAGTCAGAATTACTGAGGATGAGGGATTTTGGTAACATGAAAACCCCTCTGCCTGGAGTAAGAGATGGAAAAGTAGTTCACAGCATTAAGTCCATTATTAGTCAGTGCATGAAGTCAAAACTACGAGAAATTTGATGGACAACTGAAATGCAGCAGGAGTGGCAAAGCCAAATGTACAAAATGCTTGTCTATACTGGCATGAGATTTTTTTTTTATGGAGAGCATGGCTGATAATCTGAACTGAACCTGTTTAGTGAAGCTTAATGAAATTTTAAACTCCAAGGGACTTATGCAAGACTGAAAGTGCCCTTGGGCACAGAAGCAGGTGGGCACACTACTGCTGGGTTTCCTTGTGTTTGCATGTGACCCTGCCCCTCTGTGCCAACTCTCCAGCTGATTATCAGAGATGAGCCTGAGAGTGCAGCTTAAAACAATATCCAAACAACTTCCAGTGGTTACAGTTGACTGGAATTTGTATTGACTGGAATTTGTCTTGTGGCTCATAGTGAAAAACTTTTGAGTGGGTTTGTCAGATGCTGAAGAGACTTACTTTTGTTGGGAAACATTTTATGTTATGTGCATTGATTTATAAATATTGCTGAAAATTCCAAGTTCTTGGGGAGTTTTTTCCCCATGAGCTCTTCTTTCTCCTTCTTCATCCTGTTACCTTGAAGGTAACAGAAGTTAGGAAAAATTCACTCTATCAGACAATGGAAATAGTCATTAATAGTAGACTGCAGTAAAATTATATTCAGAGAATTTTTAACTGTGACTTTCTTTTAATTTATTTAACAATATGTTAAAAAATAATCTCTTTTTCATGAGATATATGTTTTATTTAAAATCAGGAGTATTTTTCAGGGTTTTCCTTTTGGCTGCTTGTGTTTTTTCTCAGTTTTGCCTCATTTTCACCATGTCAGATTTGGTGCAAACAGAATAGATGGGGTTCTGCCTGCTGTTTTTATTCTTGATGCCTCTCCCAGTTTTAATCTGCTTGCAAGGCTTTGAAGCTGTATACATGCAGGTGTGTAATTTGGACAGAGATTTTCCTGGAAAACACTTTTCCAAGTTGACCTGCATGTTGTGTGAGATGAGAATTCCCATCCTAGGAGGAAACAGCATGCCTAAAATAGAGTTCACAGAAGATTTCATTTAATTTGAAACAACTCCTGTATGTGTATTGGCAGATTTATGACTCTGGAAGCAAGGATGAGGTTGATCTCAAAGTTCATAAACTACTTCCTTCATGTGTTAATGGATTTTCTAGAACTTCCATCCAAAATATTTCATTCCATACACTGTTTCTTTTCTTCTAACTCTTGAGCTCAGAGAATTCCAGTCACTTTATACTTCCATCCAGTAATCAAATTTGTCCTAGTTATGTCACAGTTCTAGAGTTCTTAATTATCTTGTAATCTGAGAGGGCTGATTGGGTCTGGTCCCCCCAAAGGGTATGACTGTACAATTTAATAGACTTTGAATGCAGTGCCTTGTTATTAATTTCAGAGATGTCCCTTTATTTTTCCTGTAGCATTTGGAAAAATCTCACTCATTTTTTAAGCATGCCTCTTTTTTCATCTAAATTTATTTTCATTTCTTGAAGTGTGTGCTGTTTGCATTAACTCACAGTGCTCAGATTCACTGACCTGTTCTTGATTAAGTGGATTGCAGGGTAGAGAATAATTATTATTATTACACAAAATTGATATCATGCCCTAACCAACATCTGTCTTTGTCAAGACCTTGTTTGCTTCACTGAACTTCTGACATTGCTGTGTATCATCATTCTTTCATTTTCTTCTCTGATGTATTCCAGTGGATTCTCTGATATATTCCATGTTTGTGTTCTAACAAGGTGCATCCTTCACCTCTGAACCAACTGAATCACAGGAAGACACAAATCAAACCATCTTTTCCATCTTACCACAGAATTAGGTTATATTTAGAATTAGAACAGAATTAGGTTATATTTATAGTAAATTTATAGTAGTATTTTTATATTTATAGTAAATAGATGATTAGAAATGAACTCTTGAGTGGTAAAGGCGTTTTGGTGGGTACAGGTGCTTAAGGGAATGCAGGTCAAGTCATTACAAAAAAAAATAAGAGGGAGTAGGGAGAGAAATGTGTGAAAACTGGATTGTATAGGTTTCTTTACTTATTTTAACCAGACAGGAATATCACAAAAGCTAACAAAGAGGCATACACTTTAAAAATCTCATATGCTTTTGCTTTGCTGGGTTATCACAAAGCAGCTTTTCTGCACCCTTGTTCAAATACTGAAAACTACCTGCAGCATTTCAGAGCTTTCCTATATGTAATCTAAATCTAGCTTTAAAAAAATGTTAATGTTTCTTTACTATGCTGTCTACTTTTCTTACAGTTGATACTTCAGAGGGAGAGAAAGAAAACTGAAATTATGATGCTGTGAACCCTCTGTTCCATTTCTGTGTGGAACAGAACTGTCTGCACAGTGTCTGTGATCAAACCAGTCTGTGCTTTCTTGACAACCAGTATTGCTGTATTTTTAAATGCAGTGACTTTTACCTTCTGTTTCTTTCTTCCAAGTATCATTTGCTCATTTTACCCTGCCAGAAATGTTTGCATGAAATACGTGCTGAGTAATATTTAACTTTTTTCCCTCAAACATATATTTCAGCAGCCAGCCCGTCACAAGGACTAGACCAGTCTGGCGTTGAATTTCAAATAAGCCACGAGTGTTGAAGAGGATATTCAGGAGTGAAGGGGATATGACTAGAGGGAACTTGTTGCAATTCAAGGAAGATGACTTTGGCTTCATTCTTCAGCAAAAAAAAAAAAGAAATAGAAGAATCTCTTCCGTACCTGTAGAATAAAATGAACTGTGAACGTGCTTGGTAGACGTTTTCCTACCGTGCTAACACTTCCTCAAGCAAACCCAACAAAATCTGTGTAGATTCAGACTCAGGTGTAAATACTTAAGCTCTCTATTATAAAGAGGGCTTGCTAATACGTATGAAGCATGTGTATAAATTGTGATGGCAATCACTCAGCTGCTGACCAGCAGAAACAAAAAGATGGTGGGAGCTTTTAAATATATAAAATCGTGTTGTCCATTCAGAGTGGGCTGAAGTCTTCACTTGAGACTGAGAATCAACAACAAAAGCTTTATTTCTTATTCTAGTATTGGTACTCTCCTGTCTTCATTGGCTGTTTTCTTATTTTGTATGAAGTTTTTTATGAAGCTGCAGTATTGAGTACACTAAGTAACTATTGTCCACCAAAGAGTGCTTTATTTTCAGAGGTTGTGTGGTTTGTTTGTTTAGGAGAAGCTAATTATAAGTGATTGTTTTTAATAGTGACATTTTTAGTTGTTCACAACCAATGGCTCTTTTAACCACTTACAATTGCTTTAAATCTGTTATGATTTTAAAGGGGAGGAAAAACAGTTTACCATTTAAAGCAGTGCTGTGGTATTGAAATATCATTACTGTTCCCTTTCCTACCATCAAGTCTATTAGGTGAAACTTTAGGTTACCATATACAAAAGGTAAGAACTTCCCCCAGATTTTATTGGTATGCTTGATAACATGTGGATGCCATTGTTTTTTATCTTAGAGGCACTTAGTGAGTGCAGCACACAAAAAAAAGGGAAAGTAAGCTTGCCATCCAACTGAGATTGCTGCTGCAACTCAGGGGCAGGCAGAATATTTGACATCTAACTAACACTTTAAGAACTACATCTTACCTCTGTTAAAAAGCAGTGTAATTTTTAGGGGATTCTATTTGAGACTGACATTGTCATCCACTACAAGACTGTCTTCAAACACTGGCAGTGTTTTTTTTCCCCTACTTCTTTTCACATTATGAAATCTCAAAGCTGATGTACCCTTGTCTGCCAACTGATGTTTATAGCTGCATATCCCTCAGATGAGGACTATTACCACATAGCCTTAAATATGATTCAGTTATTTGTTGATTTAGTGACTCTTACAGTAGAAAGTAGAAGAAATGGAGAGATCTGAAATGTCAGTAATGGAATAACTGATTTTTTTAAAGATAAAGATTACCTCTGCAAGAGGGAGAATTTTATTTTTATGAATGTAAATGTTCAATGACTAGTTTCAATCTACATCCTTTTAATAAAAAGTAATCTGTTAGGGTGGTGATTTTTAAATGCCAATATGAAATAGTCACACAGTGGTTTGAAAACATTTTGTAGCAAGAGCATCATGAGCTGGAGAGGAAACAGGATGTGAAGTGTAAGTAAGCTTTCAGGTAGCATCCGTGAGTTTGGATAGTCAAAATATGCAAATATGGATACAAAGAAAACTAAAAAAGTATAGTGCAAAGTAAAGGACCATTGAGGCTCAGACTGCAGATATTTCTTTTGTTTTCTCTTAAACTTCACAGTCACCACCATTTTCTTCTTGGTGAAAAGCACCTCAAAGAGAGGGACTGATCTCATCCTGGTAAGGGAATTAAAATTTCGTGGGGTTTGGAGGGCTGTGTTTTGGGTTTTTTGTTGGTTGGTTAGGGTTTTTTAGTAAGCCACCTGCCCAAAAGCTGAAGTACAGGTGGCCACAATAGCAGGTATATTGTGCAAATATGAATCTTAGTTTATTTTTTGAGAACATTCTTATCTCAGAGGCAGAAGGGATGAAACTGCTGAAGTGAGAGTCAAAACGAGAGATTTAGTGGTATTTACTGTGTTTGGCTTTGCCTTTCTCTCAGCTGAGCTGCTTCTAGCATCGTTGTTTTTAACCTAAAAATAATTGGTCTACTTCTCACCCCTTCCAAATTCCAAAACAGAATTTGCCTGTTTTAAAGGCAGAGTCTTTAGCACTTCTGCCTTCATCAGAAGTAAATGTGTGTAACACAAGTGAGCAAACATACACAACAGCCACTCCAGCTAGACCAAAACTGCATTTTTGACATCAGTGTGTTTGAGGACACCCCTTCCAGCAACCAGGATCTCAGAGAAGATAAATGTCAGAGACACATAAATGTCAAAGGGATTTTATGTTTGAACTTTCCAAACAGCCTTATATGGAAAACAAACTCATTACCTCATTGTATCCCATCTAATTGTACTGCTTGGTTTGTTGTTAGGAATTTTTAGTACTTTTGCCTCAAGATTTTATTATACCATACCAAAGTTGTCTTAGGTACAGGGCATGGTTTCTAAATCTTTTTTTGAAGTATTATGTGCCAAAATGGAAGGTGGTGGCAGATGTATTACCACTGTACCAGAGAGCAGCTGAGGGAAGTTATTTCTGCTGTCATCAATTACGAGTTTTTCTCCTCTGAAATTCTTTCCCTTTTCAAATGAATTCCACATCGATCTCCTACTCATGGAGTAGGAGTTATATTGGGTTATATTGCTCCTTTCCATTACAGCATCAATACCTTAACTCAGATGTTAACCCAGACCTTGTCTTTTTGCCCCAGTATGACAGCAGAGAAAGTGCTGCTGATCTAATACAGCAACAAAAAAAGATTTGTAGAGACTCAAAATAGGGGAAAACATGATAGACATGATGTTCACCAGTTTGTTGCACTGCAGTTTTTATATTAATCAGTGGCAGTCTGTTTTGTGTAAACTCATGTAGGCTATCAAGGTCTAAAATTTTGTGACTAATCAGTACTGTGCATCCTGATTATTTTTAAATTGTATATTTCTAGTCATATTTTTTTAACTTGGAGTGACAGAATGGAAGTTTATTTTGCTGAAGGTATTTTTAAGATAAAGGTTCGTATTATCTTGTAATATTAATTAGTTCAATATGCATTTGTGTCTCATTTGAAAATACTGCATTTGATTTTATACAAAATACTGAATAGTGAGAACTGTAAACACAAATTCTGTCAAAATAAAAATAATCACAAGTTTGGTTTCTGTTTTATTTCCAGCATTCTAAAAAAAATCATCACAAAACCATTGTGTCTGTACTGGACTGACTCATATGTGCACTGAAAAATAATACAACACTCTCAGTTACCTGAAAACCTTTAATTAAAGCACAGATTCTTAAAACACATACTTTTTAAATTTAAAAAGTAGACAATCTCTGGCTCTGCATTTCAGGGCACTCACTTTGGAAAACAGGAGTTGTATTTTGAATTGTTGGGATACTGTTACATAGTAAAAAAAGCATGGTAAGATGGAACAATGGGATTCCTGTTATTTTTTTCCTTCTCCTATGATCATATAGTACTAATTACTGGAAACAAGCTTTATCTTAAATACTGTTTGTTTTGATACCTACCAGGAAAGTGATGGTTTCTCAAAAGTAAAAACTAAATTTTCAGGAACACTCCTTATTTTTGTGTTAAGTGTTGGTGGGGGTATAGTTCAGTCTTCAAAAAAAAAACCAAACAAACACCAAATACAACAGCAAAAAAAATATTGACCAACTAACTGCAATACTTCTGATCACTCTTACAGGCATTAGAAAATGCAGAATTTGTGCTCACCAAGCAGAGCCTGTTTGCCAAGCAAGGAAGCTTTCACTTGCCCAAAGACACATTTTTATGGTTGGAAAGTGTGTTCTTCTGTTTTAAGGTGATCCATTCTAAACTTGGATGAGTTCCTGACAAACCAGTTGCCTGATGAAGAGTGAGTGATGGGAAAACACCAGCTCATGCCTGTGATGCCCACAGGAAAACACAGCTAAGCCCTCCCATATCCTCAGCAATTTAAGGTGTCCTTAAGATGCACTGGGCAGGGGAGGGCAGAGGACTAAAAGAATCCCACAGACAAAAACTGGACCATGGCCCAGGTCAAATCCAGTGATGCCTTAAGATCCTTTGGGGGGTTTTTTGATTTTTCTAATTTTTATGAACTTTATAAGTAGTTATACAGTAGATTTTAGAAGCAGCAGCCCTTATTCACTTACCCTTAGCATAGAAACTACACACATCCCCCTACCCCATCACCCCATTCCATGCTCCCATATCCTTATCCCCTGAATTCCAGTAGAAAATGTTTAGTCTCTCCTTAAAAGAGAGACTTTTGTTTAGAGAACACTTGTACCTTGGCCTGAACAGCAAAGGTACAGTCAAGAACTGGGCAAATATATGCCCCCTGTACCCCAAAGAAGATGAAGATTGATGAAGGAGTGGTCTTAGAGACCCTCACCTCAATTCCCAAGGGGTGTGACTGAGGGTGGTCCAGGGCAAAAGCCAGTGGGTGGACGAAACCTGGGATTGGACAAGCAATATTATAAACTGTACCATCTGTACAGAGGGGGAGCGTGTGTCCTGTAATCTCTATGCCTCAGAGGCACAAATTAAAACCCTTATCTCACCTCCAAAACTAATTGCCTGGGAGTTTTTTCTCCCTGCGTTTTCTTAGGCAACACAGTGTCAGGTCAGTTAATGCACTGCAAGAATGATCTGTTGGAGTAGTTCTGGACACCTTCTCTTTGGCTTTATTATTTATTATTATTTAGCCTCCTTTGCATTACAGTTTCTACAACGCCTATCAAGAGTAGGCAAAAACATGCTCTGGCACAAAGGATGCACTGTTTAGACACATTCAAGTCTGGTGTTGGGAACTGCATGCTTTAGCTCACTAAGAGTTTGTTGAGGAAGAGATGTTTGTTTTTTTCTTTCTCATACTTCTGTTTTGGGGTTTTGTTTCACATGGATGTGACTGAACAATAATCCCCTAAAATGGAATAAAGTCAAGAGGAGACAGACAAGGGTAATGTGCTTGTGAAGCTCAGGGAGTGATGCAGGATGTGATGGACCACAGCAGTTGCAAAGATGATTTTATCTCAGTACAGAGGGGACCAGAGGGTGTCCTTTGTTGTAGATAAAGGGCTGTCAACAGTTGAGTGGATCAACCAGGCGTACAGCTCCAGGAGTTCTTTAGAGAGAGGGAAGACCAGACCAGCATGGGGAGAATGAATACATGGAATATAAGACCCAGACAACTGCCAATAGAATTTCAATGGGTTTGAACTGACATCAACCCTCCCATTCCTTCTCAACACCTGGGGACACATGGTATGGTGACAGTGAGGATACATATCACAGGAACCAGTAATGGGAATCACATTGGCACTGGGGTTAAACTCTGCACTGCAACTGCTGTGTTAAGTGTAACTTATATCTGGGTGTGTCTTCAGTATAGTTTATGTTACTGTAAACCAGAAATGCCATGTGACATGAACTATCTTCAGTTAAGGACATTTGTTATTAAACATGACACCTTCCATCCATGGGAGAAATCTCCAAGAACCTTGTCAAGTGCTGGACTGTGACAAAGCGGTTGGAGGAAAGCACCTTGGAAGTCTGTCCTTTAAACATGCCTGGTCCACGTCCTCCCTGTTAAACTCTGTCCCAGTCCACAAAGCTCTGGAAACCAGCATACAATCCACAAGTAACAGAAATACAACCAAAACACTAATGAGTACAGAATTCCTGGATTCTCATATGTCAACTTATTATTCTCTTCTGGCAAGAATTAAAAACAAAAAAACCAAACCTGTACCTTGCTAGTATTTTAACCTTTTGGCAAAGCTATCCTGCTAATTCAGTTACAATATGCAAAATTCAGTATCTTTCATTCAGATGGTAACTACTGTACAAATACAGACAGAGGAACTACTTCTGCTAAAAGCAGACAAGTCCTATTAACTAGCTGTAAAGCATTGCAGAGACAACAAACAGAACACAGATTGTGAATATTCACACTACTGAGCCTAAACAGAAAGAGCAAAAACTTTTTTTCAATTTATTAAGGGCTAGTTTGTCTCAAACATAACAAACACTGTCCTTAAACATGATACAGCATCTAAAGCTGCTCTTGAGGCACAGCCATCTCTCTGCAACAGTCATTGGATCACATCTTCAGAAGGCATTTGTTTGCAGACCAATAAAATTCTGCTGAAGATATAATAATGTATTTCAAATTAAATTCTAAATAGCAATCAAAGTGTAAGTCACTTTGATTAACACAAAGTGTTACTTCTTCCAAAGACTAAAGGCTCCCCCTTCAAGCACAAACTGTTCTTGTTCAGTGTGTTACTGAAAAAGAAAAAGCTCTAATTTCATGCCTGTTATTCAGTGATTGAAATGTACTTTTTGTGCAAAGTAACCACGTTTCACATTGTTGTTGATTCAATGATAATGAGTCAATGTTGCATTACTTTCAAGACTACAGGTAGATATATATGTGTGTGTATATACATAGTTATTTTCTTATGTGAATGTGTATGTGCCAGTGACAGCTCTGAAAGAAAGAAAAAATTACTTAAAAATTGTGCAAGAGTAATTTTAATTACATAAATGTACTAGGGCTCTGGATTTTGGGTTTGGGCCCAAAGGATGCTCATACCCTAAGGCCTGTTTTCATAAAAACAGGTGTAACCAGAGCTGAAAGCTTATTTCCCATGAGCTCAAATTGCCCAATATGCCTATTTATAAACTCAAGTCTTTATACTTCTGAGTATTTCTCTTCATTCTTTGATACTCTTAAGTACAGACATTCCTCTTTCCTCTAAAGGCACTTTCATATTAATATATTCTTGCCAATCCTAAACCACGGTACCACATTTGATTCACATCAACACTATCACATCTAAACAACAGCCCTGGAGAGAGGGGAATTCCTCTCTTTGCAAACTTGATTAATCTCAAACTGGAAGCTGAAATGCTTTAGTTTCTCCTGAGCCACTCACTGTATTAATCCAAAGAGTACCTCGTAGTAGTGCATTGCAGAGTAACGTGACTCAGATCTGCAACACAGTCTCAAGGTGCTTGTGTATATATTTACTAGTGCTTGTGCATTAGTATTTATTATTTATTTAGTATTTATTATTATTATTTACGCCTGCTCCCAACTGCTTTACAGGAAGGAGTAAAGCTAAACCAGGAGTGGCTGGTAGCAGCAGATATGTGCTTAGCAGAGACAGCTATTTTGGTACCTTAAATGTGACAGATGGCTGAGATTTAACTGCTCTCTTGTCACAAAAGAATTGCATCACTGTCACCACTTACAATTAATAATTCCTTCTCTATACTTGGATATACCATCAACTACAGAAGCCCTGAGGCCACAGTCAAGTCAGACAGACTGAAAAATAAAATTGTCACATGTCACTTCTCTAAGAAACTTCGTGTTTAAGCAGTGATCAACCACACTAACACTCATTCTCACGAAGTTTGGGGGTTTAGTTTTGGTTGGTTTGTTCTTTTTTAATTAAACAGACTTGTAACAAGTTGTGGGTTTTTTTGTAACCAGGTGGTTTTTTAACACTCTGCTGAACTAAAAGTTGATTACACAGATACACTTTGACAAGTCCTTTAAAGCATTCCCCAAAGAACCTATTTGTCGTTCTGTTTGGAAAAGCAGATCAAAGTTGGAGGAACAAACAGTAACTTTGCAGCAGCAGGAAACAGCATGAAATATAAAACAACTCTTTCAGCCTTCACAGAGAACAGTCAGAACTGCACAGATTACACCAGATTCAGCCCAGTAGCATAGCAAAGTTTCAAATTTTTGGTAGAAAAAGAGAGGGTTACTGTTAAATATTTCACTGCTTTCCTTAGCAAAAAGAGGTACTGGGAGAAGATGAGGCTACACCTCCAACACAGGATGGAAAATAGAAGCAAGCCTTGCAAAGAAGCTCTCCATGTCTATACATACACTCATTCCTGCAAGTAAAAGTGTAAATAAAAATTCAGAGACATTTTCCTGTCCAATGGGAAAAGTGGAACAGGGAGGGAAGAACAAGCTAAAATATTCTATGACCCCCACAGACAAAATCACTTCTATTCCACAATCATTAAATTGCCATTTTTGGCAGAAACACACACTGCCTGGGAAAAGGGCAGCAGCAGTTAAAATTTAAACTGCACTGATTTCATGTAGCAACTTTTCCTACAAGGTGAAGGAGTCATGTAAATTATTTCATCCAGTTCAATTACTCAAATAGCAGCAGCATGGATTCCTCTTACACCAGCACCTGGTTTGCTTTTGCACACTCTTTCTACTACAAGTTGTCAGAGTATCTCTCTGCTACTAAAATGAACTCCTTGTGGAACATGAAATCTCATGTTATAGCAAATTGTCATGTAAGTAATTTCACAAATGCAAGAAAAAAAATCCTTTGGGCTGAACTACTCTGCAGACCCTCTCTTTGGAGCATAAAGAAAAGAGTCTGTAGTCTTTCTAGGATGATTTTCTCCTGCTTGTGCAAAGCTTTATCAGTGAGATAAATCTTTTAAGTTGCTGAGTACTCCTACAGCTTACTCCAGAGCAAAACATTTTTTTCCTTCTAAGTCTCATCCACTATTTGCTTTCTAAGTAGACTGCTTAGATGTGAGGTAGAGAACAGGAAAAAATGAAAGGTTTGTATTAATCTGCTTTCCCAGTAAATTGAAAGAATGAGTTCAAGGCATTTGAAGACTCCTGTGAGCTACTTCCAAAATGTCCAGTGTGGTCATCCACTCCTTTTTTTTCTGTCATTACTTCTGGCACTATTTCCTTGTTTCTCTCAGATCTCCCAGAATGGTTCTGAGCATCCCCTTGGACAGGAAACAAGTGAGGCTCAGGTGAGGAAGTGTGTTAAAGCTGCAATGAAGGAACATCCCATTCGTCCCCAATGTCACAAACTTCTTGGTAAGGCAGGAAACATTTTAGTTTGTAGTTGCTCCTGCTGGAATCAAAAGCTTCCTTAACAATTTAGTTCTGTCTTTAGCTCAAAATTCTTACTGTTCTTAATTTAAACATCTTCAAAGTAGTTGCAGATTATATCTTGTTACTGAAGTGGGACTTATAGACAACAAAAAGCATCTGTGTGCCTTAATTTTACAGCTCACTTTCCTTTAGAGAGATCTAAAGACTGCTGTTTGAGGTTTGGGTTTGGTGGGGTTTTTTTTGATTGGGTTTTTGGTTGGTTGGTTGGGGGTTTTTTGTTGGGGGGGATGGTAGTTGATGGGGTTTTTTGGGGTTTTTTTGTTTGTTTCTTATTTTGTTCCAGACAACATCCAAATAGCAAAAGCTTCATTCTATCACTCTGACTTCTTAAAATAATACCTCAACCCCAAACCAATGAGCACTTTCTTTTATTTGCCAAGCTAAGAAGAACTGCAGCTTGTGACTGTCTGAAATATACACTTCACTCAAAAAAATCAGCTTTCAAATGTACAGTGAAAGAGTCTCAATTGTACAGTTCACATTTCACCATGGTGGTATGGAGAACTTGATAGAATCTCTATATATACACATTTTGTAAAAACACTGTTCCCTTTAACTTCATTTGAAGCCTGGTAGTGAAGTCCTGGGAGCCTTCCCACAGCTCTCACAAAGGAGACACTGGGACCTGCAACAGGATCCCAGATCACCCATATTTCTAGGACCCACCTCTATTAGCAGACAGCTGCAATCATTTCACACTGAACACCTAAACAACTTTCCCACAAGGAAATAGGCTTCCTTTATCCCCACCCAGCATAAAACTGGTCTCTTCACAGCTACTCCAAAGCTACTTTGGGAGGCCACCATTCCTGGTGGTTCTTCAAGCCAAAGCTGGAAAATCCTCGGGATCATCAGGATTTGGAGCCACAGGCTGCACCTGTAAAGTAAGAAAAGAAGCTTTATAAAAATGAACGTGTTTCAAAAAGCACCTGACAGCCATGGAGATGTATTTTACCCTTAAAAGGGTTCATTCTTCCATTCAAGTTCAATGCTGCTGCTACTGAATCCCACTTCCAGTCAAGTTGTATCCATCACTATCACAGAAATCCTGAACATTTATCTCAGAACTTATGACTACTGTAATTTCTGCAGTGTGAATGGATTTATAATGCTGATCCACTGCCTGGAGAGGGCCAGAAGATCATAAGGTTTGCAGCACTGAATGAACAAAGAAAGTAAAGCCCTCTCAAGAGAAATACTGTGTGGTTTTATAAGCAGCATTGCTATATTTTTACATTCTAAAACTACTGCACAGATTGGGTTGTAGCTTTAAACACTATGCTCTGTTTACTATAAAGAGCCTTTTCTATTCAGATGAAACAAATGCATCAACAAACTTCCCAGCCTTAAAGCATTTTAGTCACAGTAAACTGAGACCTTCTGTTAGTGTGAAAAATAGAGATGTCATTTTCCAGTGTGCAAATGCCTTTTTTTTTAAAGAAAAAGTTAAGTAGCAGGTTTTTTTAATGGCTATATTGAACTCATCATTCTGTAGGATCACTGATTACTGAGAGATCAGAAAATCTAAGTATCATTACTGTACTATACTGAAATTTTTCCCAAGAGATACAAGCCTTTAGTAATTTTAATTACTTTCCAATTTATGTCAAAACTCATTGCAGAAACAAATCTTCACTGCATTCTTTCCTCTAGTCACCATTACAGCACCTAGTAATCAGACCTTATGAAATACATGCATTAAGAGCTGTGAGCATGAACCAGTATTTGAAGTAACATGATATGGGCCAGGAACTCAAAATAAGCAGGCCAACATACTATGAGGCAGGAATAGGAAACAAGTCTGTCACTGTGGAAATCAATAATTCCACACAAAAGGCGGTGGAACAAACACACAAACACCAACAACCCGAAAACAAACAAACAGACAAAAACAAACACAAAAACCCCCAAACCAAACAAAAACAAACAAACAAAAAACCCAAACAAACAAACAAAAAAACCACAAGCAAAACAACCAAAAAACTGCATATAAACTCATAAAAACCATTACCACTGCTTTTGATTGAGGTCTGATCTCTCCAACTCTTCCGCCACGACCACCTCGTGCCCCTCTTGATCCACAGCCAGGGCGAGGAAGGCTCCCAAAATTAATATCCAGCTGAGATGTGATGTCATTCACCAGCTTTCGAAAGACAGGAGAATCATATTCAAAGGTTTCTTTCTGCAACTAAAAAGAACATCAGGTTAAAGTCACAGTTTCCATGGACAAGCTTCTCCCCTCCCCAGCACAAACACACGCACTTGTGTTACAGACTAAGCAGCAAATGGATCGAGGGGACACCTGGAATAGAAGGAATAGGATTTTAACAGAGATGAGGCAATTGCAGCTTCCCAGATGCCTGGGAGAATTCTTTGTTGGCTCAGAGATTCCTGGCAACAAAATCTTCTGTACCAGCTCTGTAATACTGAAGAGGTTTTTCAGAAGTATCATCTAGGAGGTTTTCAAAGGCACTAGAGAATCAGACTTAAGCTACTTACTCCTACAGTTACCTGTAGTAATGGACAAAGGCCACATCATAAAGCCATCTTAATTTGTGTATTTGTCTGCATGTCTTCAGCTACGAGACTGCTGTTGTTCTAACTCTGGGTGTTCCTAACAGCCAGTGGATGTCAGACTATCAGACTATTGCCCATCACAGGTTCAGTGTGCCCGTAGTAATGATAACATATATGTTAACTCATCCCATACAATAATGAATCACTTATTCAATGTCTGATTAAGGGATTTGACTTGCCCACGTTACACAGTTCCTGTATCTCCTATTCCATGCTTATTTTGACAAGGTCTCTTGGTACTGCCAGAACTGCCAGAAACGTTTTGGGCAAGAAGAACAGAAACCTGTATGCACTCCTCACACACCTGCATTCTCTCTTCAGAGTCTGGGAGAGTTATTCTCCCCACTCCTACCACCACCACCTCCCTCAGAGAAGGAACAGGGGATAATGGCAACTCTGACCAGCAAAGTCCCACTAAAGAGAGCACAAGGCCACTTCAGGACCAGTGTCTGCCCCAGAAGTGCTCAATCATCTGAAGGGATTAAGCCTTAAAAAATTGCAAGGTCTGATGTTAATATTGTAACTAGACACAAGATAATATGTATCCATAAATGCATGCAAGGATCAAAATTCACTTTTGTGACTTCCCGCCAAAACCTGAAATGTAAGTAAGCAAGGGTCTGAAAGAAGCCTGCCCTCTCTCTCCAGACTTAGACTTTATCCCTGAAATTTCAATCTCAGGGACATCATGAAATAAAATACAGGGGAAGGGGGCAGAGTGGGTAAGCACATCACAGCAGAACAATCTCTCCAGAGTTAGCTGTTAGAAGCAGGACCCTAAAACTGAAAAAAAAAAAATAAAAAATAAAAAAGTTAAAATTCATATATTCCAAGGGCACAGTGAGAGCTGGGATCCAGCACAGATGAAAAATAGACCACTTAGCATCCAGACTGACAGATGCCAAAACCTCAGTTTAATATATATACATGCAAGTGTATACTGGCAGGATTCAGAGTTAGGAAGAGAAGTTTTTAGTAAACCAAGTTTCTCTAGCAGCATTACCAGACATCTACACAGGTGGCAGCAGCAAGGACACATTTTATATGGATAAGACTGAGCCATAAGGTAGAACAACTTGATACATTATGTATTTGCATACGAAATAGGTGTGATAATCTGAGAGGGGGAAAACAAATGAACAGACAGTAAGTTTAAAGCAAGTTTCGGGCCACATGTCATTAAAGTAATAAAGCTTAGATACTGTTCTCTTGACTGTTCAGATTATACTAAAACTAATAAAAAAGAATAGAGACAGTTTCCTAATCCTGGGCATAAAGGACAGTTTACAGAATTCCTGAGGCAATGCTTACATCATGGCTATATTTTGACTTGTGAATCACCACTGCTTTGGAAGGAACAGTGGATTCTGGCTTCCGGACGTTGAATTCAGGCTTTGGTCGATTCTGTTGCTGAAGACTTTTCCACTCATCTAATGTCATTTCTTGAACTACTTCTTCCACTGGCTCTGCTTCAGCAGCTCTAAAGGTTTATAGTTGTAAAGTAAAAACCATTAGCTTGCAACATGCCAGGATGAACAAGAACACTAAGCTCTAAAGTAAGGATAACCAAACAAAATATTTGGAATATTTCTCACCAAACTGTTGTCCTTAAATTCTCTTGCTCGCCACAGTAACTTTGTGGGAGAGTTTTACATTAATGTAAGTTGGAGTATTGTTCAAAGTCAGTCATATGAACAAATGCCATCTGCAGCCACCTCTATTGCTGCTCATCCAGTAAGTTCAAGCACTTAAGATTCTAGACAAAAAAACACTCTGCCTTTTGATCTCTCAAACTCTTAACCCTACAGTTTAATAGTGGATCTATCCCTAGCAAATACAGCCACCTAGAGCAGTTTTAAAACACCCCAATTGCACAGTTTCATTGTCCTGGAATGAGGTGGATTCACATTTCAGTGTAGTTTTCAGTCATCAAAAAGATATGATTATCACACCCTGGGATCTTCTAGGTAATTATTAACATTTTCTTTGTTAACTTCACAAGATGCTTCTTTAATTTTTTTTTTGTCAGACATAGTAGCACACAAGGAGCCATTATTTATCACCCAGAAAAAACAGATTAATCCTAGTCAAGTTTTAATTTGTCACAAAGTGCAATGATGATGATATATTCGAGGAAAACATATTGCATATTTTTGAACTATAAAGACAGTATGTTTTGTCTGTAAGATACATAAATAAGACAGGATACACAAGACAAAATTAAAGATTCTTCTCCATTCGTCACTGCTTTACTACTCTGAAGCTGACCACAACTGGCTTGCCCTGGACCAGCAGCTCTTGGAGCACTACAGGTATATTTTTTAATAATACCTAGAGAAAGCTGTCCCCTGCCAAGCAGCACCACACACAGGGAGCACAAATCACTTCATCCCTGTAACTCTCTGCTGCCTAAACAAGTCAAATATCATGAGCTACAGGAAAACCCACACTGATTATTCCCAGACACTCAAGAAACCATTTCTCCCTTCTCCCACAAAACCGCTATTGCTACAGCAGTTGAAGCAGTTGAAATTGAGTATTTCCCTTACGCTGATTTTTCTGGAAAACCCTTTCCTTAGGACCCATATGGATTTGGTTTTCCTCAGTCAGTCGCAGTTCCAAGTCTTCTGCCAAATGCTGGTGATTTTCCCAATGTAAATATACAGTTTATTAGACATAAGTTAGAAATTTTTATCATGGAGAGAAGTAGAGTCAAATGACAGTCAGTAAACTGTGCATTTTGGCTTTTGAAGTTATAAGAGCAGCCCATCAGACTGCACAAGTTTGTTTGGAGCGTTCTGTACATTATAGAACTACCTTATACAGGAACAGGGCTGGTCCCTCTTCCTACTTGATCTTGAAGCAAACCATTCTATTTCTTGCCAGTCAAAATCAGACAGTATTTTTCTGAGATGCCCAGCATGTGACAGTTGGAAGCAGAACTGAACAGTAAGGCAGCCCTTCATTTTGATTTTAGGATGAACACAGTTTTAAATTCACTTGACAGAAGAACAACAAACATACAAGTCCTGCACTATGTGCCTCCCCCTCTGACACACCCTCACGCCCTGTTATTTTGAAAATTCCAGCTGTATCAACCAAAAATTAAAGGTTAAAAGACTGGTAAGCAGTCTGTAGTTCCACGCTGATTAAGATCTGAAACTATACTAGACCGATTGAGTTAAATAAAAAGATACTGGTGAAAGAAGCAGCTACTTCTGGAAAAACACAAACGGATACTGTTCCACATGTAACAGCATTAAGAACAAATTGCACCCCAAACATTTCAATTTGTTGTCTTCAAGAGTAAGAGGCCATATAATTTTGGCTCAGTTACCTGAAGTTTCAGTTTTGAGAGCAAGTGCTAGAAAAACAATATTAGTGGTAAACACCCAGAGGAATTAAAAAAGAGAAAGCAAACCAATAAAAGGGGTCTCTATTAAACTGGTTTAATTTCTTCTAAAGTCACTACCTCAGAATGAAATCAGTAAATTGCACATCTGAACTTTAAGAAGTCCTCTCCCATTAAGTTTTCAACACATTAGAGAGACAATGTCTTAAGGCATGAGAAGCCTTTAAAGGTGTGGTGAGGAAACATATAACACTAAAAAAAAAGGGAGGTTTTGCATATCCATGATAGCAAGGCAAGACACTCAGGTGAAAAAAACCACAACAAACCCTAACACAGCAGCTTCTCTTTTTTAAGTATTAGAAAGACCATCAAGGGACATTGAAATCTCTGGGACATTAAAATCAACCAGACAGGCATGAGAAGTGACAGCTACAGCTAGTCATGCCTTGGGTCAGAAAGCCCCCTTTCAGGTTTAAATTGCTATGACCACAAGATAACAGGAGGACATTTCACTATACAGCAACTTGACCTCTCAAAGAGCAAACAAAGGCATTGCTTTGAAAAGTACACCTCTATCAAAAGCAACCATTGCCAGTTCTAAAGGAAATACTTGTGGATCTACAGTGCAATATTTGTTTTTTCAACTGCATAGCACGGTTTTAACTGCTAGATTATTAGCAGTTAAAATTTGGTTTAGGATGTCAAGACTCCCAAGGGGAAACACCTCTCATGAGTGAGGCACAGCAACAGAAACCTGCATATCACATTTTGGACAGAGACCCAATTGCAGCAGCTTATTTTGGGCACCAAGCCTGCATGGGAGTGCACTCTGTGCATTACTTTCTACCTTCTAACCTTACACATTTCTAGTAACTGCTCAGTGTGCATTTTGATTAATCAAATTAATAAGCTCCTTGGCACATGAGCAATCATGCTCACAAAATACTGCCAGACAACCAAATGCAACCTCTCGACATGAGCAAACCCAATTCACAATGAAAGTCCCACCAAATCACTAAACAAGAGCCTTCAGTAACAGTTCCTACTGCTTCAATGTTTTCAGTAGATGCCCATAACCCTCTAGCTGTGCCTTGATTACTGGGCATACAACAAACAAAACACGTTTTCTTTTTAACAGAGGAAATGCAAATAGAAAGCAATGGCATTCAGCTCAGCTATTATTTTCATATCATTAAAAATGATCATAGCAAGTCTTTATAATCATAGCAAGTCTTTGTCAGATCAGCTTTTGTATTATTCAGCTGCACAAAGCAAATCCTTAGCCAGTTTTTATTAAGAAGTCAATGACATGAATCTTTCCCACCAAACAGCACTTACAGGAGCATTACCACCAGCTATAGCAAAATTCAAAGTTAAACAAGGTAAGATCAAACAACAACTGTACAAGTTTACCACAGAAGAAAAACACTGAACCACATATTTATGAATCCCTGTCCTGATGTGTGAATAGCTTTATGTCACCACTGAACAAAAAAACAACCAAACAACAACAACCAAACCAAACCAAACAAAGAAAAACAAAAAAGAGATAAATAGCTCAAAAAGTTTGAAGATAAATTTACTAACTCTGCAAATACCCTTTAGGAACAGGAATTGATTAGCCTGTATGTTGTACTGAATAAAAAGAAAAGTCTATTAATTTGAATTAGTCAACACAAGCGTGTCACATTGCTCTGACTGTGAAGACAAGTTCAACAGAAAGCAGATGTGAGGGAAGCTTATCCTTGTATTTTCCTACACTGTTAAGGTTAGGTTTTGCTTTTGCAGCAAACCAAACCCCAGCTATTAGCATGCAATTTGGGATGATACAAATAGAGACAGATACTGTTGATATACTCAATAAAATTTGAGGATATGGGAAAAAACCAACTTGCTTCATGTTACAGATGTATTAAAGCAACTCTTGCCCTGCAATACTTTGTAAATAGAAACTCAGGAATGGCAACACCGACACAGTCCTCAGGGCAAGACCCCCTAAATTAGAGAAGCTTACAGACTCTTTCCAGAGTTGCATTGAAGTTAGCCAGTACCACACCAGAGAGACTCACAGTATCTTCGCAGGAAGGTTATTCCCAATTTCCAGGATTACATTTTTTTACAGTTTAATTTTAAATGGAAACAGTTACAACAGGAAAGAGAATGAGAGAAGAAGCAAACACAAGCCTTCCATCTCTTTCTCAATAAAAGCACGCCACTGCAACAAAACAGCAGAAGAGAAAGGGTTTCCTTGCAGTCACTGCATTATAGAGTCAAAATGAGAAAGATCCCAGCAGCAGCCTAAGCAAACACACAATCCTATATAATGTTGAGGCTGCAGCAAAAGCAGAAGGCAGCAGCTCTGGAGAGCAGGGGCAACCTAAGCATATGAGACTTTTAAATACATCCTGAAGCACAAAACCAGCTTTTGCTTTTAAATATTAAAAGAACAACAACAAAAAATAAAATCTCATATGTTAAGACATATGCCTACAACCATCCCTAATGACCTAGGCACTGTTCCCACATTGCCTCCTATTTTAAAACACATAAAGTCACTGAGCTGACACCCCCCCAAAAGGTAAGTGCAATGAGATAAATGTAACTCATGTTTTGTATATATATTTGTAAGCCTTCAGGACAAGACTTACTGCACTGAAAAGAGTACAACTGCAGAATTTTCCACTTGTAGTTTACTCGGGTTTTTTTGGATCTTATGGATTTCGGTGGACTATTCCTAAATGCAGCTTTTTTAAAAAAAAACAAGCAGGAGTAAAATCTCCAGAAAGGCTCACAGCCTGACTGAATACTTAGTGATTTCTAAGACAGATAAAAGAAATGTAGACAACTGGCAGATTCTGAGAGGGGCCTTTTCCAGTGCATACACTTCTCATGCCTTCAGCTCTACAAGGAACTGCTACTGGGACATGTCTCCAAAGAGCTTGAGTCGAGTTAGAAACAAACACAAGTGTGAAACAACTAAAGGTACCAGCAGCTGACAAAATAAAAATAAAAAAAGCTGAATAATTTCTCATATTTAACTAATACAGTGTATTTTTGACAATGTATCTGCACTACCCATCTGATTTAAGTTCATTTAGAAACAGTTTTTTGGAAATTCAGTCATAAGTCACTCAGTTTCAGAGGCAGATTTCCCCATGTGTACACATCTCTAGCTTTATATTAAAAGCTACTTTAAAATTAAAAGAATCAAGGCTATATCAACTGCACTTCTTGGGGGGGTTAAACAACCTGAACATATAACACAGGTTTTGTATTCCAGTCAGCTTTATAATTAAGAAATAAACCCACGTCGCTAATAACTGGAGCTGCACCATTAGGTAAAAAAGGCCATCTTTCACCTGTCAAGAATGCAATTTAATTATTTGTTAAGTCTCTTATTTGGCCAAGATTGTCCAGTTACTTTTTTGCAATTAAATGCAACCTCCAGCCACCTGAAATCAAGCTTTAGTCAGAATTAGGGATGCATTTTCTATACTCACAAATATAGACAAAGCTTTTCCATTTTTAAATATGTGCACTAGCAAAACTTCACAGTTCACGTTTCAAGTGTGTCTCCCAATACAACAGTAAAAATCAATTGTTTTCTTTGCATTTAGAAAGAAAATACTTAAGTCAGACAGTACTTGCTCAGAGGGTCTCCTTCAGATGTCCCTGGCTGTTCAGCAGTTTCTACAGTCTCTTCCATAGGTGCAGCCTGTTCCATCCCACTAAAACAGGAAACAAAATAAAACCACCACAAAGTCTTCATGAGTCACATTGGAAAAAAAATACCTTGCAGATCAATACATCACTTTTTTTTTCTAGAATTCCTTGGGAAGAAGAAAAAAAAAGTAGAAAAGCTCTTTGATCATGAGCAGAAAGATCTACTAAGTGACTGGTTGAGCAACTAACAAAATGAGGAGGATTAGGAAAATACAACTTCTTTTTAAACAAAAAAGTGAAAAGCATGTATGAAGACAAAATAATTCAATCATGAATACTAATACAAGTACTTGGTTACAGTATAACACTGGTGTTTGAGTTTGCCTTTTTGCTTCTTTTCAACAATTAAAGTTTGCAGTTTCTGTAGCACGGACATCAGTTCACTGTCAAATGAGAGCAGTAACTTACTTGCCTTCCACTGGTAAGTATACATAATTAAAATTAACACCTTTTAGCTTTGATGCATGATTAGTGCAATTAAGGCCCAGACATGCTTTTAGAATTGTTCAGATAGCTTGAATTTAATGTCACTTCTACCACATCACAAGAAATCCTTCATATATCATAAGTTCTGATGCTACTGAACTAGAAAAAAAACAAACCCAAACAACAAAACTTTACTAGGGAGAAAAAAATACAAGGGACCTTACACTTCTTCTAACTTCAGGAAGTTCACACAGCCTTCCCTGACATCCTACAGAAGATAGTTCTCAACTGATAGCATAAAACTAGCTGACCAAAAGCACAAAACTATGTTAACCTAGTTGATACTTTGATAAGCCAGAGCACCTAACCGACATACTTTTAGTATGAAATACTATAGAAGAGAGAGAAGTTAGTACAACCTTTCAGAACTTGGAATATCAAGTCCCAAAAATTATTACAAACCAAGGCTGCATTTTTCAAACCTTTAGCACGATTGCCTGAGTCCACAATCTAAGTTCTAAAGCTTAGATTTTAAGATAAAATTTGATTTTTAGAACAATTTTGTGAATGTGTACATGGCAAAAGACATTTGCTGTAAGTTCAAAGCACTGCCTTTTCTCTGCCCTTTATCAGCCTTCAATTAGTGTTCTACATGTACATGAGAACAAAAGCTACTGGAAAGAGTAGCTTATTGCTAGGTGCAGAGAATGGACAAAAGCCAGCATTTTCAGTGAGATCTTACAAATCTGAACAGAAACCAGTGCCACTACAAGAAATACAGACCTGAACAGAAAATTCCCAATTTTTTTTAATCTAACTGACCATTAGCTACTGATTTTCCTGTGCACTTTAAAATGCATTTCAGTGGTACAGTCAGCCAAGTATTAGCTCCAGAGCCATACTGAATTGTATCACAGTTTTGCAATTTAGGAATGATCCATAAAACTCAAGAAAAAGAGACTGGACTTTAAGCCCCTGAACAGAGTTTGAAATTTTAATCAGCATTTTGGAGCAATGCCATTAAATACTACCTGACTATTGAGAAAAGTCACAACTTATTTCCTTTAAAGGACAAATTGGCTCCAGTCAAAAGATTTTGGCAGTCTTAAGTGAACAAACACCATCACGCCTTTGCTACAATTTAATCTTACCATCAGAAAGGAGACAATTTAAAAAACTGTGGAACACCACAACAATAATGGAAAGCAACACTTATAAAGCTCAAAATGGACACGAAAATGGTGAACAGAAAATGATCTAAGGTTGGCCATGGAAAATTCTGACCTATGGTGAACACCAGGACATGATGTACCTCATAACAACTACAACTGCTCTGCAGTTGCAAGCTCCACCTCCACCCTTTTTGTTATCTGCTTTCATTCCTCTGGAGAGGAAAACAGAATTCTGTGACTTCAGGAGCTTTTTCCCACTAGGACCTCAAACTAAAACCAGTAGTGACTTTTTGCCTCCAGCTTGGATAGAGAAGGAGGGAACAGAACACTTAGGAGACACACTACTGTAGTGTACACCCAGCAGGAAACAGCACACAGAACACTTACCTTTTGTCATTCCCCCTCTGTCTTTCAAATTCACATTTTCCTCTTTGGTCAAAGCCACCAAAACTTCTGTTTATTCTACCACCTCTTCCTCTACCTCGCATTCCACCTCGTCCTCCACCACGACCTCTTGTTGGCCTTTCACAGTGTAATCTTTCCACTGGCCTACAAAGATGACAACTAGTAAGATTTTTTTCCCTGCAGAACAGTGAACAAGGAGGAAAAAAAAATCATATGCTTATATTTGTGCAGCTGTGGGACACGTCAGTATATAACAGCTACTACGTGGTTTTTAGAGGGCATCTTTTTACAGCACACAGTGTAGTTGTTTCAGTTTTGTCATTAAAAATGGACATTGACTGAATACAGGAGGAATTATTACAACAAACGGGAACAGAAAGATCAGCTGTTTCTTGGTAACACTGAAAACATCACAGAAGTTAAAGAAAACATTATAAAACTGTCAAATCTTCAGTAACTTTATTAGGCAATAGCTCCACTGTCTAAACCCAGATTTAGCTGCAATTCCTAAAAATTTCAGCCAATTTTTTAAGTACCAACTATTGTGATGTAAAGGAAGAACAGTCACACTCTGAAGCATTAAAGGTTTAGTTGGAATTTCCTACTACTTATGAAGAAAGCAAAACTGATATGCATTCACTGTCCAAGCAGTAGGTAATATGACAAAGGTCTGTATTCAGTTTGAACAGTAAAAGTCATTCAGCTTGGAACCTCACCACATGCTCTGTGAAGCTTGGCATGTGAGCTCAGAAATAAACATTATTAATATGTTGCAGACTAAGTGTTACATTTTCAGGCCTTCATACTTTTCAGTTTCGTCTTAGATTTCTGACATTTAACAAAACCGCTCCAAATCAACAGGCAAGAAGGCTGGAACTGCAGCTGTGACAGGCATGAGCCAAATCTTGCAACAAATCTACACACTAATAATGTGTAGATCATGCCTTCAAATCATGCCTGGCTACTAGAAGAAGTAGTTTTTTAAGAAGGTGATCACTTTTCCTTCCCACTCCTGTGCAGATCCTCCTCATGACACATACTTTTCCACTTGGAATTCCACCTGTCTTTGTGCTCCATGGGGACAGTATTCCCAGACAGATGGTCTCCACGCAGCCTTGTCCTGTTTCACCTCTGCTCCTCTCTTGCTGAAGCGTTGCTGTTCTCCCCACCAAGGTGGTCGCTTCTGGCCTGCACAGACACACACAGATCACCAACAGCTCATCAGTAACTGTAGTAGTTTAGTCTAGGCCTTCCTTGGTGACTAGTTTGTAACCAAGGAAGTGCCCATATTACCCGGTATTCTCTATGATTTTTACATAAGTCAAGAGTATAAGAAGAAAGGAGGAGAGGCCTTCGGTCTCTTTTTTCCTTCTGGTGGCTCTGAGGGTGCGGATTCCCTGCTGTTGAGTCTGTTGTGTTGGAGAGTGAGGCCTGGTGAGGCCTTGCCAACCTTGGGAGGCGGAGGTTGCCAGCGGTCATTCCAGCATGACCTTCTGTTGTCCCAAGGAGAGTAGTAAGATATTCTTTTGCTAATTCTTTAGCTTGCTAGATCCTGAGTTTCTGATCGTGTGTATATCTATTTTGGTTTTTGTTTGTTTTTTTGTCCTTCCCCCTTCCCTTTCCCTTTTGAAATTGTACATATATTTCAATTGTATATAAATGTAATATAAGTGTAAATATATTTATATATATCGCTTTAGCTACCTCTCTCTCATTTCGGTTCTCTTGGGTTTTTTTTTCTTTTCCCTTAGTTTTGGGGGGGAGCTCTTGCAGCGAGGTTTGGAGACTTGGCAGGGAGCCAGCTTCAAACCACCTCAGTAACTGCATTGCACTTACCAAACCACTGACTGAAAGGAGATGATTACACTTTGCACTCCTTGGATTTACCTTCTCCAACCTCAAGTCCACCAAAACATTAAAAGTCCTCATAGTTAATGTTGCCAGCAACTGTTTGAAAGACACTTCCTATCTCTTCTGTATTGAGGAACCTGCAAAAATACTCCAGGTTTTGACACAAGTCAGATGTTTCCAGAAAAGACGGTCTAGAGAAAAATCTAATTTTGCTCACATTAAGTCATAGATAAGGAGAACAAAAACTGTTTCATGCATACTATGGGATGAGGCAGAGAAGCTTCAGTGGAAAAGAGTAACTGCACGATGGCTGCAGGAGCAGTGAACAAGGGCAAGAGGAGGACCCTCAGAGACAAGGTTGATCATGAAACCACACACCTGACAGACAAGCTCAGTTTTGCAGTCTGAGCCTTCCACTCTAAGCTCCTGGCTGTGGTATCTTAACAACCAGAGCAGGGTCACCTCCTCTTATTACTGTTCTGTGGAGAAAAGGACCACTCACCAACACTACAGGGCGCTGAGTTTAAGTGGCAGAAACCAAAGCAGTGAGCAGAAAGGCCTCAACACTACTAATTCTAGAATGTCAACATATTTCAACATAAAATATATTTTCAGACTTTTAGGGTTTTGTTCAGCCATTGATGGGGTTAAGGAGGATCAGGTTGGGAAGGGCGAATGGAGAGAAACTGTACACTGTAAGAGAGAATAAAGTGAGGTTTTCTACTCAACCTGTATACACCTAGCAGATTAGGGTTTGTTATGTGCTTCCTTCCCAATTTTCCCAAATTCTATGCTCCATCTGCGACAGAGTTCTCCAGAAGTAAGCAAGCCTTTTGCCTGCTAGGCCTCAGTCAATCAAGGAACTACAAAAAGATGGCTCTCAAACCAACAAAACTGAGCTACTCTGTCCAGGAGAAGCAAAGCTGAGCAAATTACTGAACTCTAGTCACTGAACAAGTGACAGTCCTGGCTACTGTGCCTTTGCTGCTGGCACACAGAGAGAGTAAAGCCTATTCTGTGCCACAATATAAAGATGCAAATTAATTCACAGCTCAACAGAAATGAACACATAAGATCTCTGATCAAAGCTTAGGTGGCAAGCACAAAGCCTAACATCATCCTTCAAAAGAAAATTTCAAAGAACTATCCACTCAGTGAATAAGGAAGGAGAGAGGTAAGTAAAGCTTTTTGTTATACAGTAACGACAGTCATATTTGTACACACAAGATAGTCATTCTCCCTTCTCAAGGTCTAGGACTACTCAATCCTTAGAGCAGCGAGCATGTTTGCATTCCCCAAATTACAGTGTTATCTCTGGCTGAAGGACAACTTTTGAAATTGGTGTTTAAGTAAGCTTTTCAAACTAACACAAAGCAAAATTATAAAAAAAATACAGAATTGTACATCTGTCTGCTCTGCGCACATCTCAGCTACACTACCAACTATACAAGTGTTATTTCCAAATAGGAATCTTGCTGTGGAAAAAATGACCACTCATTACTGAACTCATTTTTAGTTATTTTGTTTGGGTCTGAGTGCATGACTGCAACAGAAGACTGTATTTTTATTTATTTTTTATCCTCTCATTGGCTGTCAGAAGCCTCAGTTATTCTACAAAGATTTATTTGGCAAGAATGCAGTAGTCAGAGACCACCTCCCCTATGTACTTAATATTAACCTCAGCTTCACCTTCAGATTCAAAGAGCTCCTTAGAACCAGTAAAGCAATGCCAAAAAAAAAAAAAAGTGCAAAAGTAATTTTAACAAGTCAAGACTCTGGTTCTGTTATCCAGTACCATTTAGAAGTACTTCAAAACAAGCCCTCTTCCCAGATATGTCAGATATGACATGTCACTAGCACTGAGCATTCTGCACAAAGCAGTCAGTTCTACTCCAATTTCACTGTAAGGCTGTTCCACTTTGATTCTAACAGGTGGCTACAATTACTGCAGATGGATTTTAAACACTAGAAAGATCATCTGCGGCATTTATTACCTGCATAAAAAAACCACCTGTAGCTGGTTGACAGACATGAATTAAAACAGTATGCAGCACCTATACCTCTCTAATAAGATAAGTCACCCCCAGGGCAGAAGTTTGTGTGACCTGCTTGTAAATCAGTTCAAACACAACTTTCAGCTCTGCACATAAGTGCAAACCAAACCTGGCAGTAGTGATAGCATAAGCTGTACAATTATAGTCCTCTGCCATATGTATGTCCCAGTGTAGACTTATTTAAATTTATGGAGCTGAAGGGCCACCTACCCTTTAGGGCCAAAAAGGAAAAAAAAAAAAAAAGGCAAAAAACCCCAAGACAAAGTACAAGCAATCTTGTATAGCACTGCCACAGTAGCTTTCACTTAAAAAGAACTGGGCTACAGTTCAAATGCTTATTAGCTACCTCTGCAAGTACACCCCAATTTTGTCTGCTTGTTTGCATATATAGACTGGTATGCAAGTTTTCTTCAAAATCACACACAAAAGAAAAGCTTTGGAGTTTTGTGGGTCATCCGCTTGAGGTCTTACAAACATGACGCCAGAAACTGAAGCTCACTCTTTCCTAGTTACCCAGTCTAGCCTCTCTTTAAAGTGCTTTTTCTGTCTCTTACAGTTACATCTGTAATCTGTATTCACCTGAAGATGCATCCCACCCTTCTCCACTTCACTACAGCTTTCCTGGAAGGTTACTGCAGCAGCCTGTTCTCTTGGATAAGTTGCCTGTTGTTTTACTTTCTAGAGGAGGAATCAAAGAAATCTGATGCTTAAACTGTTTCAACAGATACAGCTTTTTTTTTTTTTTTAATTCCAGGAGAAGCAGCTTGAGCTATTGTTACAGGGGAAAACACCTATAAATACTAAAATTACAGGTACTAGAACTAGACACTGCTAAAGAAAAAAGCCCGGTTTTACAAGCTGTGGAGTAAAATCAGCACTGATGCAAACCTCCTAGTTTTGGCTTAACCCCCAAATAAAAAAAAAACCAAACCCACAAAGGGAAAAAAACCCCTCTCCAGCTCTAAAACAGTATTCTTCTTCCCAGTGAGATGAAAAAAGCATTCAAAACCACACAAGGCACAAGGAGTTTTGAGAGTAGGTGCATCACCATATAATACTTGTCTATTGCTCATGAAGAACAGATGTACCAAAATACCACTCTGCATGACATTTTCAGGCAATTAAGCAACGTCCAAGCCTCAGCTGTGTCATCAGGAAGTAAAATATCTAGTATTAATATTAACAAAAGGACAAAGATTAATAGACCCAAAACAGGTGCGGGCTATGGTAGAAATACCTTGACCAGCAACCAAGAAAACAATTGTAAGGAATATTTTAGGTACAGTAGGATACTGAAAACCCCAAATACCAGGTCTAGGGGACTTAAATAAACCACTGAAAGAAGTTACCAAGGCAGAGGAAGTGGAGTCCAGAGAACGAAAAGATTTTCCAAGCTATAAAAGGAACGTTCGTTCTGGGTCACCTGACAACTGTGTGTGCACCATATGAAGTGGAGTTGATTCTTAAATTACATTCTACACAATCAAAAAAACCATTGTTCTGAATTCAAAATCATTAATTCACCTACTATTACTCTGAAAAGATGTGATGTTTTGAATGCAGCGACTTCACTGTTTGTTCCTTCCAACAGTGAGCCACGTCATGGTTGTTGTGAGGAGGTGTTTCTCTCCAGCCAGCTATGGGAAGATCTGCAAAATCAGCCTCTAGAGATCTCAGATCTAATCCTCTTCACCAATACATCTTCATACCACATAACACACAGGTTATGCAGTGGTGAGACACTGTGAGGTGCTTGAAACAGAACCTCTACAACCCTTGGTGACTGCCCAAGAGGCCAAATTAATTCAATTAGCAAGAACAGCCTGGTGGGAACGTGATCAGCAAGTGACTATTTATACTGATTCTAAATATGCTTTTGGAGTGTGTCATGCAATGGGTATGCTATGGAAAGAATGAGAGTCCCTTACTTCAGCAGAAAATAATATTTCTAATGGATCTGAAATCCAAATGCTCTTGGTAGCCATTAGGCTTTCAAGGGAAATTCCTGTAGCACACTGTCCAGCTCATAAAAAAGGCTTCAACTGAATGCAACAAAAAAACCCAAATCAAAACAAAAATAATTACTCAGATCTGTAGTCAGACAGATTTATAATGGCCTCAAGTTTAAGAATAGCACTTGGGGATATTATGCAATGTTGGGAAATACCCCTTGCCAGCATCTAGGGTTGTCATCAATAGGAAGAGTGAATGGGAAGGGTCATAAACTGTCCTACTAGGTACTTGTTTTGCTGTTAAAGCTTTAGGATATTATGCCTGTTGCTTGTAATAACACTGGATTGTAGTCAAATGCCTTGAAAGACTTCATGAGTTCTTTTTGACATAACAGCAAGAAAGCTTAAAAACAAAGGGAGAACTGCTGTAAATTAAGTTTAGTTAGCTGAACTCTTTTAACTGGATTCTCTTGCCAAGTAGTTTTGCTTACTAAAAGCAGCTAAAGCTGCTGCAGCTTTAGGCAGCAAGCTGCAAACTTTCACCTTGAAATGGTGAACTAGTCTTGTGCTATTGTTTAGCTACAATAAAGGGAGGCTCTGAGACCAGTGCAAACCAAAAGATTAAGAAGCCCTGACTATCAGCAAAAGCTGCAACCCATCCAGACAAAAACAGCTACAGAGAAAGAATGTGATAAGGAACAAGAAGACTCCAGAACAAAAAAATCCCCATTGGAGTCAGAGATGCATGTGAGGTGTGTGAAGTGTGTGAAGCACAGGTGCGTGGGTTGTAATGGTATAAAATCCCAGGGATTTCTTTGTTCTGGTTCCCTCTTGGGAAGCACCTAGCTGGACCTGTACCAAGTGCAGTACCATTCAATTACTAATATTTTCCCCTAGAAATTGGATGTCAGACTCAGCTGCGGGAAACCCAAGGTAAAGAAATTTATTTAACAACCTAAACTTCCTTTACAACAAAGCTGCATAACTGGAAGTAGTAAAAGGCAGTTCACAATCTCAGGGATTTACTCTGCTGTACTTCAGAGTGTGGCAGATCTAAGACTCCACAATCTTACTTTTTCCCCTTTGAATGTGTGTGTCCACATGATTTTATTACCAAACTCCAATTAATTTTGTGAACTAAAGCATACCTAATTACATGACCCACAAAATAATAACAGAATGTTCCAAAATAACAAAAAAAGGCTTCAGCTACTGCATGCAACACACCCAAGAAAGTCACATGGAGCTAGACTTTATTCTGTGGTCTTCTGTTTTCATGTGTGCCAGTACTCACTGAATTACAGAATTGCCTACTACAGCTTTCCTCTAGAAAATCCTTATGACACTGTAGCTGAAAGAACACTATCAGGATAAACTATTTAAAAATAAAAAAACTGCAGCCAGCCTAAGACAAAACTCCTCAGAAACTTCCCATGCCATATTAGCTAAAAATTCAAACACATAGTATTCAGAGGGACTATATATAAATGGTACCAAAGCCATCAAACATACACGAAAGAAGAAAACCTGTCAGAGGTATTAGCAACAAAGGTTTAGAGATTTCAAAAGAACAGAGCTTATTACTGCATGATCAACAAATTCAATTTGCCTGGACTGGTAAAGAATGCAAGCTCAGCAACTGGGCCTTTTGAATAAAGAGCTGGCAAATGCAGTTTGGTCACTGTGGTAAGAATGAACTGAGTTAACATTAAGAGGTGCAATTAGAAGAGTTGTAATACTTACAACCAGTCTTTACCCAAATCCTAATATAGTCTGAAAAAAAAAAAATCACAAAACAGTCAGTAAAAGACAAAAAATTACATCATTAAGGTCAAAAGTGTAGGTTTTGGTAGGCCATGAAATAGGATTCCAGTTTCTCCTTAAAAAAGAAAGATTAAAAAGTTGTCTCCTTACAGTTGTGTCAATTCATACAGTAAATTGCTGGATTCTAAAAGTCAAACTATTGCATTACCTGGAAAAGTCCTCTGAAGAGGTTGCTTCAAATTGAAATTATCTCCAGAAATTCAGTAAAAACTCCTCTGAAAAAGGCAGTGAAGAACTACATAAACAAAATGTCAACTTACAGAACTTTGTGAGTAAACCTTCCACTTTAACTTCAAAATATAACACCACAAAAAAGTCCCTCCAACTACTGTAAAACTTTCTATATTACAAGACAGATGAGTAGGTTTGCTTTGAGTCTTTCTAACTTTTGTTCTGATTTTCAAGAAATAATACAGTAATAAAACAAAAATCATGAAACTTTTAACAATACTTTTTGTAACCCAAGCAAGCAAACACTTGAGAAAAGACTGGAAGGGCTGTGTCTCTTCTCCTGGAGAAGGCTTGGTAGAAGCCACATCACAGCATCCCAGCACTGGAAAGGCTACAAGGAGGATTAAGGCTCTCCCTTCACAAGGAGCCACATGGAGATAAGGGGCAAGAGTGGGGATAAGCTGCATGAGGAGAGATTTTTTTTACTTCAACCAAAGCAGTACCAGAATCTGATTCAGCTGTTAAGGTGGGTCTAGATGCTATTTTATGGTGTTTAATTCCTAATCAGTGAAATTAAGTTAGTTATGCCCAAAATAAGGAGGAAAAAAAAAATCAGTAAGAAAGTCTGGAAACAAAGTCTTAAAATACAGTTTGGTGTGGGGTTTTTTGTCTTTGTTTGTTGCTGGTTTTTTTTTTAAATAATAGCAATTAGTTTCACCATTTAGTAATTTTAATCAATATTATTTATTTGCCCAAGCAGAAGTGCACTCTTCTAGCAATGTGTCCATCATTAGAAGTTTTATGCCAAACTCAACTAGTTCGAGGACCTTCCCAAGAAGTTACTCATTCTCAACCATTAAGCTGATACTCCTCTGACCCTTTTATAGAATCCAGAAGCTTTCCAGTTGAACCCTGTGTAAAAAATCAACTTTTTATGGCCCAAATAAAAAGCTGACCCCCCACCTTACTGAAGATTTTTCCCCCAACACACCATTCACTTTATATTTGTCAGCTACACCATGACTATGTAGTTGCCCTAATTCACAAAGTGATCTCTGCCCTACAGAGTAGACTTGCTAAGACAGCACATCCAAAAAAAGAACACACAGTTAAGACCAAGTCTTGACTATCTACCCTGGTTTAGCATCCTGAGCAGTCCTTATTTCTTAACACACCCAAGGCAAACATAAAGCACACATAAAATCCAGGATAGCCATTTTATTTAAAAAAGAAAGTGCATTTTTCAGAAATAACTCTTGTTAAAACAAATGTTCATTCCCTTTACCTAAGGATACTATAGCCAGCAGTCTTTTCTCCATTTTAAATTAGCAGGAAATGAGGTGCACATGTCTGATGTCTCTGTATGAGAAAATGTGTTCCTTAACACGAAGGTTAAGAATAGTCAGATACTCCACAGTGCCACTGTGTATTACCACAGAATTAAGACACTGTCTACAGACAAGCAGGAGGTAAAGGATGGTCTTCACATACTACCATGCTCCTAGTAGGTCACTGATAACTACCAGTCCTTGTCCAAGAACATTTTCATCAAAACTTGAGACTCTGCTGTTCACTGAACAGGCTCCTGCACCTTCTGTTGATAATCACAACAAAGTATCTTTTAAATAAAATAAGCTGTTACTACTGTAAGTATTGGTCTTACAGGCAGCAATCTCTGACAAAGTCACATAACTACAGAGGAACCTCAAAAAGATGAGTTTCACATAACTGTCCAAAGGGATAGTGACAATTTTTTGATATCATCCTAAGATGTTCATTAACCAGAACATGGAAAGAGTCTCTGCTCAACTAACTGCTGTGGGGAACAGTTTAACAACTGAGCCTAAGCAAGTGAATTGACAGCACCAATCACAACTTGATGGAGAAACCACACGGAATCAAAGGTCTTTTTCTAGGACATTAAAACACACAGTTCAATTATGGTGAAGCCTTTACTACAGGAAGAAAATATCTTAATAATAGATTATGTGTTAAGCTTCATTGCTTGCTACAGGAGAACAGGAACTTTAGAGGGTGAAACCAGAATCTTCAGAGCAGAGATTCTCTATATTTGGAAACAATCAGCCAGCCCTTGGATACTTTAGATACTGAATCCAACAACCTGCAGCTCAGTACCAGTAGTAGTAGTAACAATCAGACTCACAAAGACACCTCCAAATGCACGGAGGTACAGCGCAGCAAAGCCTTCAGCTGCAAAGAGGACTGTGCCAGACTTCTTGGTACAAAAGCTGACCAACTCCCTATTTCACCAACCAATATCATGCATCAGAACCTAGCAGCTGACATACAACCTCGGCCATCACTGAACACCGTGATGAAGAATTCGCCCGGGAAATAAGGCTGGCACATCAATGCAAGATTCAGGTAAAATAAGCACAGATCCCCGGAGACGTTAGAACCCTGAAGACGTTGAAATGCCAAAAAAACTACAGGGACTGAGAAAATAAGCCCGAAAGCAACAAACACTTAAGGATAACGTCCAGGGCGATGAAAGACATCAACAGGGCTGCTAAACTAGCATGAAAGCTACAGACGCTGTAGGGTAGGAGTTAATGCTCTTGCTCTTGTCTCTTAGGGGCTATTGCTGAAGTTTTCATTTGCACCTCCAAAGGCTGGGAGTACGGCCACCCGGCTTAACGCTACTACTGCCCTGTCCACGGGGGCTTCCAGGTGTGCCTTCACCGCGGCAAACAAGGGTTTTCTCAGCCCTGCCGTGACCCCGCTGCTCCCGGCACCGCTCCC